CATGATTTCTTTTTGCAGTACTGGGACTTGAACTCAGGGCCTACACCTTGAGCCACTCTGCCACCTCTTTTTTGTGATTGTTTTTTTTTTTTGAGATAGGGTCTCACATATTTGCCTGTGCTGGCTTTGAACCACGAGCCTCCTGATCTCTTCCTCCTTGGTAGCTAGGATTACAGCCGTGAGTCACCAGAGCCTGGTGGTTATGATGTATGCTAAGCTCTGTGGCACTTTTGGACATCAAGAAAGGGAATTCTAAGCAGCAGTTTTCCCATTAGCAGTACACCCCAGATGAAGACACTAACCCTGCTGTTCCCAGTGGAAACTCTGCTTTGTATAGTCAGTGCAGTAACTTCTGGGTTCAAGTAATCCTCATGCCTCAGTCTCCTCAATACTTAGGATTATAGGTACATGCCACTGCACCTGGCTACTGTGAGTCATACAGTAGAAGTCAGCAGTCCTGCCTGACACCAGTGGCTTACGGCCTGTAATCCTAGCAACTCAGGAGGCAGAGATCAGGAGGATCAAGGTTCAAAGCCAACCTGGGCAAATAGTTCATGAGACTCTTATCTCAAAAACACCCATTGCAAAAAAAAAAGGGCTGGAGTAGTGTCTCAAGGTGTAGGCCCTTGAGTTCAAGCCTCTTTACTGCCCCAAAAAAAGAAAGAAATCAGCAGTCCTCTATCCCACCCCTTTCCAACTCCACCTCTGCTCCCTAGTGGTTTCCTCAGATAGTTACCCTCTTGGATACATAGAAAGTAAAAGAGGGAGTTGACTGGAAGGAGGGAAACTGACATTTGTTGAATTACTTATATACATGTCAGGCACTTAGTTAGATACTTTCACATACAAGGTGAATGTAGAAATTTGCTGTGTTACAAAACCTCTAATTTCTGGTGAAGACATTGCTCTGTCCAGAGGAGCCCAGGGCTGCATGATTTCATCACGTTTTGGAGGGAAGAAAATAGTTACACTCTGTGTGGAGTCTTTAAGCTGAAGGAAGACCTAAGAAAGCCTTTTCCTGATCTGGCCCTACTTTGTGATAGGTTCTCCAAGTTCTACTTCTTTGTCAGCTAATTGCATTTCTTTTATTTGTAACTCTCAGCATCTCAGTTTTCAGGGGGTCAGCATTATAAAATCATTTTTACTGTATAGAAGGAACTTAACCTGTAAAAGAGCTCTTCCTTGGGACCCGAGCCCATTAGCTTCCTCTTTAGGTATTATCTCTCTTTCCAGTTCTCTGCTAGCTTGCTCTAGTAAGTTCCCATACCTCAGAGAAAGGTGGTTACTTAACATCTTCCAGAAACTGAATTAAATTCTTTTTCACTCCCATACTTTATGCCACTGTGCTCCTTATTACCACCAGTCTGATTTGAAATGAGTACACTTTCCTCGGATTCCCAGTGCACTAAGGACCAGTGTGGCCCAGGCTTAGCTGCAGTCAGAAGAGTTCCTATGGAGCTCTCCTTCCGGGTCAGCACACTTGACTCCAGGCCAGGGCCAGTCTGTCTGAATCTCAGCATTCCAGTTGTGCCGCCCCCCCACCCCTCCAGAGGCTTCTGCAGCTTTTTACTCATACAAACAAAAATAAATCTTACTACCGGCCTCTGAACCCCACAGCAGCATGCTTCCCCTCTCCCCAAGCGTCCCATGGCTGTGAGTGGGGATTTGGCACTCTCCCCACCGACATCACTTTTTCACTCCCTGCGCATCCTGTGTCCTTCTCTTACCGTGCGACCCAGAGATCAGAATGGGACGTGACGGCCGGCACAGGCGCCGTGCACAGCTGCCAGGAATCTGACGGGTAAAATCTGGAAAAGTTGGGAGGGCAAATTCTAAACACACACATAGCAGCCACTCAGAAAGAGCCGGAAACACAGAACACCCATAGAAGAGTTCCTGGGGACTCGTAAGCCCTTCTTGGTCTACCATTCTTTTTAAGGGGACTAAGCCAGTCTTTGTGATTCAAGTATTTTTACACCCCCAAGGCCTACTGGCACCCCAGGAGAAGAGGCAGCAGCCTTGTCTAATCTCTTGAGACTCTGTGAGGGCATGTGGGGAACAGGAAGCAGTTGTGTGGTGACTCACTGGGCAGAGCCAGGTTAAGGGAAGTTGTCTGCAGACGTCCCTGGGACCGGATGAGGGCAGCCCAACTTCGACCACCCGCACACTGCTTGACCCTACCCCACCCCTAAAGAACCAGCTGCCACCTCCCTAAGAAGCTGTGGCCAGTTCACCCTTTTGGCCATGAGGCAGAGCTCTAGGAACCTAGGGAAGCTTCTTTTAACCTCACTTCTAGGTGTTGCTTCTATCCTGTCATCACAACACCAAGGTTAGCTCACTTTGCTCCTAACCTCCCTTAGCCACTTGGCTTAAAGACCCTCCTGCCTACCAACAGCATAAAGGTAAGATGATACAAGGTCTCCAGAGCTAATTCTTCACACGGGGTGAAAAATGGCAACCAGACTTCCTGGATAGAGTCAAACCAGGATGGGAGTATCATTTCTCAAAGCAGGAAACCGTGAGAAGAGTGGCAGAGATACAGTGCTCAGTGAGGACCTGGGCCCCCACCACTAAAGGTGTCAGTGTCCCCCATCCTCCCTAGGCATATGGCAGTGCTTGTTATGTCCCTTCACCCAAAAAGACAGAGATGTGGGGCCTAGAGAAAAGCTAGGTGAAAAAGAAAAGCCTGTTGAAAAGGAAGAATAGGAACGCTGATGCTCCTCTGCAGGAAGAGGCAAGACAGTGAATTGTTCATTGAACATGTTCTTACAAAATGCTCAAGCCAAAATTGGTGTAATGTTCACCCTCTCATTGGCAGCTTGAGGGAAGGGGTAGTGACCCAAGTTCCCTGGGAAGGTGACTGGCAGCAGTGGTATTTTCCCTTGTGAGGTAAGATCAGTAGGCAGACTTCAACAGACTGGGCCTCTTGGCCACATTTCTCATGCTGCCAGCGTACTGTGGCCTGTGCCTTCACCAGCTGTGGTGGCAGTGGCAGCAATGACTTACTCATAGGGAGAGGTCCCTGGTAGGTCATGGATAAGCCACCCCCATCATTTAAAGGCATGCCCTTTCAATTTTACTGTCACTGTTAGTGAAGCCTGAGCAGCCTCCTCACTGACTGTTGGTGGCCAGGCATAGCACCCTGGGCCCCCTCTCAGTTGGCAAACACATATGGTCCCTCTACCTGCTACCTTGTGCCTGGGTCTGTGTCCCTGTAGTTTCCGTATGTCAGAAGGCCAGGAGAGGGCATGAGGGGGCTGGGACCTGTAAGGTTCTTGGTGTCACCACCTCCCTACACAGGGAACACACTGGCTGGGCAGGTGCCAACAGATCAGTTCACTTCTTGGCTGTGGTCTCCAAAAGAAGAAGCAGCACAGTAATGACCATATTCTGTAGTGACAGACATATCCAGAGCCTATCTCTATGGGCCACTGCCACACATGTCAGACATGTCAGGCTTTTGCAGAAGTACTTAGAACTTCCCTGAAATGTGAAAGCCCTCAGGACAGACAAGCCCTGGGCTACAGGCTTCTGAGGGATGAGGGAGCTACACACATCATTGGTGCCACATGAGGTGGCTGCTGAATAGTGCAGGCGGACACTTTGACTTTTTATTAATGGCAATTTAATGTACAGTAGGAAACATATGACTAACAAGGTTATCAAATTATTGATACTCCAGATAGCAGTGCTGAAAAGGAACCTAAAGTGGGCTGGTGGAATGGCTCAAGTGGTAGAGTACCTATCTAGAAAGTATGAAGCCCTGAGTTCAAGCCCCAGTATTGCCAAAAAAAAAAAATGTCTAGCAAAGTGACTTGAGCCAGGTGGCAGTGGCTCACACATGTATTCCTAGATACTCAGGAGGCGGAGATCAGGAAGATCGAGGTTCAAAGCCACCACAGACAAATAGTTTGAGAACCTGACTCCAAAAAACTCATCACAGAAAAGAGTGGGTAGAGTGGCTCAAGTAGTAAGGGCACCTACCTAGCAAGCAATAGGTCCTGAGTTCAAACCAGTACTACCACAAAAAAAAAAAAAGTGACTTAAAGTCAATCTAAAAGAAAATATGAAGTCAATGATTCATACAGGGCTGTGGCAAAGGGACAAAAGTAGGACAGAAAACTTTTAGGAGATAACCTCACCAAGTGAGGGGAAGGTGGCAGTAGTTGTAATCAGTCTGGGTTGCTCTTTGCACACACGTGAGTTAGGGTTTACTTCACTGCATGAACTCCTGCTGCTTCAGGAGACTGGTTATTTTTTTATATAGCCTTTGAGTTTTAACTTCATTAGCTTCATTAGGGGTTTTTTGGGTTTGTTTTTTTTTTTGGTTATTTGGTTTCAGAACACAGGAAAGTAAATTGAGATAACAGATTGTGTTCTGGATATTCCCAAGTGCCTAAATGAGAAGTGCCCTTGCATATTCTGCCTGGATCATATATGTGAAAACCCTTTCCAATCCAAGGAACTAACTCCCTTCTTAATTTTTCAGCCCATAGTCCTACTTTCAGAAACCTGTTATTTTTAATACCATCAGGGTATTAAAATACCCTGCCTCAGTCACAGGCAGGGTTTAGTGACTCCCCCTGGACCAAACTTGGTTTGTGTTTTTTGTTTTTTTTTTTGGTGGTACTGGGGCTTGAAGTCAGGGCCTGCACCTTGAGCCACTCCACTGGCCCTTTTTTGTGAAGGATTTTTTTACGATAGGGTCTCATGAACTATTTGCCAGGGCTGGCTTCAAACCGTGATCCTCCTGACTTCTGCCTCCTGAGTAGCTAGGATTACAGGCGTGAGCCACCAGCATTCGGCTTTGTGTTGATTTTGATTGCACTACTTTGCTCAGTCTGTGGACCCGTCCCTCAGGCCTGATGGGTTTGCTGTACCTCTGGTAGGGAAGAGGTATGTGGGGACAGGATGCTGACACACTGTTAAGTCAGCACCTTGGCTCACCCACCTGCTTGCTTGCTCACACTCTGGCTCCCTCACATTCTGTGTCCCTGCAGGCTGTCTTGGAAGACCAGAGTCAGATGAGGCAGATGGAGCTGGAGATCAGACCCTTGTTCCTTGTACCAGACACCAACGGCTTCATTGACCACCTGGCCAGTCTGGCACGGCTGTTGGAGAGCAGGAAGTACATCCTGGTGGTGCCCCTCATCGGTGAGCTGGGCAGGAGGGCAGAACGCCCTGCACATATGCAGCAGCCCCCTCCACACATGCCCCACACCCAGGGCTGGGCAGGCAGAGCCCTGCTGTGTGTGTGTAAGACAGGATTTGCAGGGAAGAAGGGAATGCGTGGGGCAAAGAAAATTGTTTAATAATCAAAGCAGTTCAAATTATTATGGCTGATCCATGGCTTAAACTGCTTGAACAAATGGACTCCTGTGTCCCAGCAACCAGCGCCTGGATGAGCCCAGCCCTTGTTTTTATCCTTATAAAGCTTGCAGTAAAACAGCAAAGCTGGTTCCCGTTATTGGTAAACACTCAGCCCTGGCAGATAACGGCAGTGCTGCTGGGTGGTCTGGCAGGGAGGCTGGGAGGATTTTGAAGTGGTTAGATGCCTTTGGTCTGATTGTCTTGTAGCTTTTCGTGATCATTCTGCTCATTCGAGGTAGCATTCTTCTGGCCAGTGTCACCCTAAGGCCAGGCTGACAGGAACTCTCCAAAGCAAGCCCTTGGCTCATGCCTGTTGATTCCTACCACTTGGGCGCTTACCACTGTTTGGTCATTGATGCTGGTGCACGGTCAGCATCTCAGGGTCCATCAAACCTGCTTTTACCAGCTAGATTGCCTCCAGGGGACCATCTGGGCACCCTTAGTTTTAGAGCTCTGTGGTAGGTCAGCCTCAGGGGAGTCTTTGGACTTTGGGCTACTGTTGAATATAGCTGATATAGCTAATATAGCTGATCGCTGTATTGTAGAGGCAGAGGGTCTGGGAGATGATTGTGAAGCCAAACCTTTTTAATGTCCCCCTCTTTAACAGCCATTTGAAACAAGTTTGGGAGCCCTCTCCTTTGGAAAAGCCACCAGACTGGCAGTCTGCCTGCCAGGCTACCTCTGACATTCATGCCAAGATGTTCCATTGGGCCTTCCCTCTAAGTCCCAAGTGTCTTAGTGCCAGATGGGGGTGGAAACAAAGGGCAGGAAACATCCGCCCCTGCAGAGCCTGTAGAACCCTGGGGGGTTGTGGGAAACACGTTAGCACCACCTGAGAATGTTGGCACTGAAGCAACCCTCCTCCCTCCTCCACCCTCCCTGTCTTCCTTCCCCCTCCCCATGTGGCCTGGCCAGAACCTCTTAAACCCAGGCCCTGAGACCTAAGGAAAGGTTTTCTGCACTTCAAAAGAAGAGCAACTTCTATCATAAGGCAGAGCAGCAAGGCTATCACATTGTCCTGGGCTTCCCTCTTGCCTCACTGGGTCCTGGTGGGTTGCCTTTCAGGATATAGCTGTACTTTCCTCCCGGGAGGATTTCAGGGGAAAGTGGCTTGGACACTTTTTTGCTAGGTGGTTGGGAAGTGGTATAACAAAGCTTGTTGCTGGTGGAGTGCCTAGCAGGCATGAGGCCCTGAGTTCAAACCCCAGTACCATCAAAAGAACCCATATAGTTTAGTTAGGCACTGGTGGCTTATGCCTATAATCCTAGCTACTCAGGAGGTAGAGATCAGTAGGATCTTGGTTCAAAGTCAGTCCCAGGCTAATAGTTCGCAAGAACCTATCTCGAAAAATCCCATCACAAAAAAGGACTGGTGGAGTGGCTCAAGTAGTAAGAGCACCTACCTAGCAAGTGTGAGCCCCAGTGCCACAAAAAAAAAAAGAGAAAGAGAGCTGACATCTCAGAGGCTCCTTAAGGCTCAGAAAGTACCTCAGACACTTCCTAGACTAGCTAAAGTTCCTGTCACCAGCCCTGATTATGTAATCTCCTTGTTCCTGAGAGATCCAGTAAAAGACAGAGTATGGCCCTTGGCCCTAAGGAGCTTACAGTTCAGTATAGAAACCCAGGTTTGGTACAGAAAGGACAAACACAAGAAAATCAGAGGACACTTGCAAGAACACAGTCCATGACCCACAAGGATTTTGGGAACTGACAGCTGTTTTGTAGCTACACAGGCCAGTCTCACAGCTGTGAGACAAGCTCCTATTTACTCATGTGTTCCTTAGTGGACTCTTACCCCTATGCCCAGAGCAGCAAAGGGTTAAGCCAACGTCTTGTTTGTTGTGCTCTTTTAACCTGCTCTGTGCTCCTTAGGCCTGACCCCAGCATTGAGAAGTCCCGCCTGGTGCAGAAGCACAAACAAGCTTCCCCTTTGAAGCCTGTTTAGTTTGGAAGCAGGAAAGCAGATTTTGGGATAGAATACCAGTTTTTCCTGTTTGATGTTCTGTTTGCTGTACCATACACCCATCCACCATTACTCCCCAGCCTCAGCCATGCATCATATGGACACTGCAACTCGGATTACAAAAAGCATGGTTATTTTGTGTGTGTGTGTGTGTGTGTGTGTGTGTTTTCCCACATGGCTCTTTTCCAAAGAGTGTTTCTGAATACCCAGACAATGAGTGCCAGGCTCACTATGGAACAGCATGCTCATGCTGACTCCCCAAGCCATGATTCATTGTACTAAAGAGAGGCCTCAGACCCCAAACTCTCTGGAGCCCCCAAGGAGTGCATATTTCCCACTTGACCTCAGGCTTTTGGCTGGAATTTTGGAAAGAATCTTCACCAGAAAATGAAGCCATGTCCCAGACACTTAGACAGACAGGCATATACACACACACACACACACATACACACGTGCACGTGTAGTTTCAAGGAGGTAATGTGGCACAGTTACGGTTTTGAGAAACACCAGGGCACTTGCAAGTGAGGATATAACTGTCCTTCATCTGTGCTGGCTTCTCTGTACTCTGCCAGAGGGGGCACATAAAACCTTGCCCCTTTTGGACTGCTGGGTTGGGAAGCTCTCCCATAGTTGAATGCGAGTACCTCACTTTCCCTTTAGCTGCTGTATACCCTTGCCTCTCCTGAGGGACCCTTTTAATTTGATCCTGTAACTAAAGAATGCAATAGCTCTCTAATAGCCAGGTTTGTTCCTCTGAACATAACAGCTGTAGAAAATTCCTGTAAGTTTCTCCCAAGAGGAGGGCAGAGCCCAGGAAAAGAGGCAAAAAAGAGAATAGGGCACTGTGAAAGTCTGGGACCCTTCCTGCCCCCACAAGTGGCCCTCCTACCCCTTATTTCATTGGAAGGCTCCTGTGGGGAAGGTGGCCTCTGTGGTCTTTGAAGGAACTGAATGGGAAAGGAAGTGGACAAAGCCTAGGATGAAGGCATACATGATTACTGAGACTGACACCATGTGGGCTCTGTCTTATCAGTGATCAATGAGCTGGATGGACTGGCCAAGGGGCAAGAGACAGACCACCGAGCTGGGGGCTATGCCCGTGTGGTGCAAGAAAAGGCCCGGAAGTCCATTGAGTTCCTCGAGCGGCGATTTGAGAGTCGGGACTCTTGCCTACGGGCCTTGACCAGCCGTGGCAATGAACTTGAATCCATTGCATTCCGCAGTGAGGACATCACTGGCCAGCTGGTGAGACCCTGAGCTGGGAGGGAAAGCCCATAGCCCACTATTAGAGTTCCTAGGAAGGAGGGACTAAAGGAAGACTTGTGGGTCAGGGCAGCTGAGGGAGCAGCCACCATCAAGGACCATGAAGGGGGAGTTCCTTGTCCCCTGGATCACTCAGCACAGTTAGACTCATCCAAGCAGAGCCAGAGCATGCATGAAAGGGACTCTAGGACATAGCCTCCAGGAAGTATGCCTGTGCCTCCTCTGCATGGCGCCCCCTCCTGCCCAGTGGTGCTTCTCACACTGTTTTCCTCCAGGGTAACAATGATGACCTGATCCTTTCTTGCTGCCTACACTACTGCAAAGACAAAGCTAAGGACTTCATGCCCACCAGCAAAGGTACGATTTACCCTGTCCTCCAGGATCATCCATCCCCTTGCCCTACCTCATCCTACCCATCATCAGCCCCTGAGAAGGGTTTCTCCATTTGACTCTGGCCTAGGAAATCAGGGACTGGCAGGTGGATCCTGGGCCAACTAGGAATGAGCTTAGTTCAGGAAGCCCAGCTCTAAGCAGTGAGCTTTCCCACTCAGTCTGCATCCATTTCCTTTCTTGGGTCCTCAGTGATTTCCCTTTGACAGCAAGAATGTCTTTATGATTCAGTGTAGCCTGTTCTGGCCATGGTCTCCTGAGTCCAGCCTTCTGTAGCCCCAAGAAGCACAGTCCCCAGTGGGCACATTTCTTTTCCTGGCCATGCTCACCTTCTTACCCCTCTCAGTGCATCCCTGAATGTTTATTCTGTATCAGGCCTGGGAGAGAGGTGCCTCCCCAATAAGGAGTGTGAACCTTTCTTCCCAGTCTCTATGGCTATGAGCTATAGTACTTTGTGAACCAGCTAGAGTTGGAGGCAGAAGAAAGCTTAAGACTGCACTCACAGTCCAGTTTTCAAGAATTTTTTGGTGAGCAGAGGCCCACCCTATGACTGTCTTCCAAGTGCCCAACCACCTCACCCTCATCCCTGAGATTCCTACACAGCCCTTACAGGGTCAGTGACATGTAGGGGTTTTCTGCTTCTGATTCCCAGGATTCTGACAGTTCTTTTGGAAGGAATTCCTAGCTCAGTGTCATACTTTCTTTTTCTTTTTTTAACTTTGGCTGTATTGGAGTTTGAAGTCCGGGCCCTTATGCTCTCTAGGCAGATGCTTTACCACTTGAGCCACACTCTAGCCAGAATTTCTAATTTTCATATGTGTTGTCATCTTACTTATGTCCTTGTTGCCCCTCTGTCTTCTCTGTTCATGCCCCTAACCCTGGCTTTCAGGCCTCTGTAGAAGTTGTTTTCCCTCCTGCTTCCCCTCTCACCCATGTTAATGTAGTTCTCTCTCCTGGCTGAGTCTCTGTACCAGGGGCTGGTCAGAAGCCCACAACTGCTGTTCCTCAGAGGGGTCCTGCCACATGGTTTGCAAATACCATCCCTTAGAGCCAGATCTGGAATTTTCAAGTGATGAAAGAGAGTCCTAGCTGAACCAAACAAAGGAGTTTGTGCTGGCTTTCTAGAAGGGTACCTCCTGAGGGAAAGGATTGCAAAGGACTTTGTGGGGAAGTGTAGCTCCCATGCTCCTCAGCCTCAGAACTATTTATTTCCTAGCACAAATACATTTGGGCTTTGACCTTACTACTCCTTCCACATCCACACTCACCCACACCCTCCTGCACTATACCCCAACAGCCAAAAAGAACCCCTTGCCATCCTGGGGACCGCCCCTATCAGAATTACATCAGCAACGGCTGGTGTAATCAAACCCCATTTGTCAGTGTGAATTCTTAGCAGATTAACTTGTCAGATTCACAGAGAAACCGTCACCAAATGTTTATGTGTAAACGATGTTGAATTTTAAAATCATGTGGATTATGGCGGATGGGGCCTGACAAGATGACAGTTTCTGGTTTCTAACAAAGTGAAGTTACCAGTGTCAAAACAGAGGATGTTTATTGTTAAAAAATGTCTCAAAGTATCCACAGAAACCCCTGCAGACCCCTGCCAGCAACGCTGGGCCTTGGTTGGCTGACCTAAGGCCTGGGACTCTCCTCATCTGAGGCCCAAGGCAGGAATAGTGGGGCTGTAGACAGACCCAGACAGGCAGCTAGGTGCCCCACATAGCACCACACTCCCTACACCACCAGCCCATCCTCCCTAGGGGGTGAGGGCAGCCCCAGTCAGTGGAGGGGTCTTAGACCCCTTACCCATTGACTACCTTCTTCACCCTCTGTCCACCACAGCACTTGCCTCCGTCACACTCTCCTTCCTCCTCTCCCTTTCTCTCACCACCATCAGCCCATAAGCCTCTCCCTTCTTTGTCCCCGCAACTCTTCCCCAGGCTGAAAGCCAGTTCTCAGCCTCCCTGCCTGGACCTGGCAAGCCTGAAACTACTCAGGTCAGACATGGATGTTTGCAATCCCCTTTCCCCACCAACCCACGCAGTGCGTGAACACCGCAGGATGTTTCCTGTGCCTCACTGTCTGCTGCACCTCCGCTAGGAAATGTCCAACCTGGGACTGAGGGGTGGACCTGCCACCAAAGTGGGTATGTCAAGGGTGGGGATGTTAGTTGCATGACTATTTGGCCCACTTTAAGTTTTCTCCATTAAAGGTCAGAGAGGAGAAGAGATAGTGGAGATACTGTGCTAAAAACGTCATCTAAAAAGAATGAAGGTTATCTGTGCTACTGTAGAAAGATGGGGTTTTTTGTTTTTTACGGTACTGGGGTTTGAACTGAGGGCCTTACGCTTGCTAGACAGGAACTCTAGCACTTGAGCCACTCCAACAGCTCTGTTTTGTGTTGGGTTTTTTGGGATAAGGTGTCTCAAACTATTTTGCCCAAGCTGACTTTGAACCGAGATCCTCCTGATCTCTCCCTCCCAAGTAGCTAGAATTACAGGCATGAGCCACCAGCATCCAGCTTAGATGTTTTAAGGTTATAAAATTTCAGTAAAGGAAGTATGGCTAGTATGATCTCAATGTTGTAGGAAAAACTGCATGCGTGTGTGTGTGTGCGCTTGTAAATGTGCATAGAGAAGTTTGGAAGGTCAGGTGCTGGTGGCTCATGCCTATTTTCCTAGCTACTCAGGAGGCAGAAATCAGGAGGATCGAGGTTCAAAGCCATCCAGGGCAAATAGTTCTTGAGACCCTATTTTAAAAAAACCCATCACAAGAAAGGGCTGGTGGAGTGGTTCAAGGTACAGGCCCTGAGTTAAAACCCTAGTAGCACGAAGTACCACCAAAAAAAAAAATTTGAAAGATACACAGAGCTACTCCTAGGGTACCAGACAGGTGGGAGGATAATCCTGACTGCTTTTCCTTTTTACTCTTCTGTACCATTATCTATATATATGTGTAGGTTACTTTTTTTTGGGTGGGAGGGGGCAACACCAGCATTTGAACTCAGGGCATTGTACTTGGTAGACAGGTTCTCTACCACACCCCCAGCTGTACTTCTGTTTAGTACAGGAAATCATTCGGCCATAGCCACAGGACCTTGTGGGCACAGCTTTGCCAGGGACCCTTGCCTAACTCTCCTCAGAGTACCCTCAAGCCCGTCCTTGTCCCTGTACCTGGAAGCTCTGCATCCACTTTTTTCTCATCTTTGGTTTTCTACCTCTGGAAGCATAAAGCATTCTGTCTTTGGGAGGTAAAAAGAAAGGAGTGAGTCCAGGGCCAGTCAGTAGTGCACAGCATGGGACTTCTGCTCCTATGAGTTCATAGTCCTGGGAGACAGGTCTGTGGAAGCCTGAAGGTTAGGGCAGCTTTCAGGCACAAGACAGAACAGAGTTCTATGCAGGAGGGTGGGGGCCCAAAGCAGAAGCATAGCCACTGCCCAGCATGGCCTTCTAAACAGCAGGAGAGGTGCAACCCAAAGCTGAGAGTTGCCCCATATTCCCCTTCAGGGTTAGAAGAGGCAGCCACCCCTGCCTCCTGTCAGTGAAGCCCTTTTGCTTTCTGTGCCAACAGAGGAGCCAATCCGCCTATTGCGGGAGGTGGTGCTGCTGACAGATGACCGGAACCTGCGTGTGAAGGCTCTGACAAGGAATGTGCCTGTGCGGGACATCCCAGCCTTCCTCACGTGGGCCCAGGTGGGCTGAAGGGGCCACACAGGGGCCCACCCCCATGGAACCGTTCCTGAGAGGCCACTAGGCATCCACTGTAGCACGGAAGATGCCCATGTGCCTGAGCCACCAATCCACCCAGACAATAAACCATCCTCTTCCAACCCACGCCGTGGCCGTGCTGTGGGGGAGCTGCTCCTCACATAGCCCCTCCCAAGGGTCGGGCGGCAGCTGCTGGGACCCTCCTGGGCTGCCAAGATTTAGCAGGGAGGTGGCTGACTACAGTGACAACAGGTGGGCAAGCCAGATCAGCCGCCCGTGCTCTCAGCCTTTCTCCTCTCATCTTGTTCAGGGCTGGGGGAAGGCTGCTCACCCTGGGACTTGTCCACTTTCTCCAGGTGGTGATGGGGCAGGGCTTCTAGAGTTCCCATTAGATGCAGGTGAAATCGGACCCCTTGTAATCTGCAGAACCTCTGGCCTGTGTCCAAGAGGCTTTAGGTGTGTTATGAAGAAAGTGCCCAGGGGTGTATTTCCATCTTCCTGAGGTCTGGATCCCCCATGGACCCAAGTTGGGTTCTGTCCCTAACAGCAGCCCTAGGTCCCTATGTCTGTCACCCCCACCCCAAACATACACCCATCCTGCTGTTCCTCTTCCTGTCCATATCAACCTGCATCCCTTACACTTGCCCCGCCTTGCTTTTCCTTTAAACTATCATGGGTCTAGAAGGAAAGGACTTCTAGTCACAGGCCCATGCTTCCTGGGTGGCCTTCACCTGCTCATTCTACCCTTCTTGACCTTTCTTTTGCTCTTGTTCCCTCTTTGGGAAATTTCCTCAGACTCTTGTCATCCCTCCCTCACACCTTCACCCCAGAACATCCTTTTATCCTCCTTCCTTTTCTAATTGGTCTCTTTCGACCTCCAAGGTCCCCTCAACTTCCTCACTTCAGTTCCTCCTCATGAGAGTTCTCACTCTGAATCTTCCTCCTTCCACTACCTGTGGCAGGAACCTAATAAAACTTTCCCACCCATCTTTCCTTCTCAGGCCCCTATGCTCTGAGAAGCTTCCAAGGTTGATACATCCCAGCCTGAAAGCATTACTCAGCCTTGATTGTTCACCATTTCTGACTTTTCCCTCTACTTCCCAGAACTGACACAGGGGCCCCTTAGCCTTTGAGGTTTTTGTTGCCCCTTAGCTGGTACCCATGTTCACAGCCTCCTTCCAGAGGCTTCCTATCAGGAATGAGTTCCCTCCAACCCAGGGCAGGAATAAAGGAGCTAAGACTTAGAGATAAGGCAGGGTCTCTGGTGAGCAAAGGGATAAATCCTGATGGGACCAGTGAGGAATCTCCCCACAGCCCACATCTGGCCTTACTACCTGCCCCTCTGGGAACTTTCCTGGGGATGCTGGGCCTTTCCCAGGCCCGGGACGGTGCCAACAGGGGGCTGGGCAGGACAGTTCAGGCCTGTGGTTTGGGATGTCCCTATGGACTCATTACTCAGAGACCGGCTCTTTGGGTACAGGGTCCTGGCCTCCCATGAGATCCTCTTTTCTGTCCCATTTGAAGTCCCGGTTTTGTTTGCTTAATAAATTTTTAGTTATGAAACATACTTGACCTCTTGCCAGTCTGTTTTTGGGATTGGGGAAGAGAGGCAGGTCCAATCCTATACACCTGTGTGCCTGTGTGCCTTGCCACCTCCTTGGTGCAGTCCACCCAGGTCCTTGTGCAAGGGCAGAAGACACTGTGGCAGGATTAGGGACCTTGGTTACTGCTTTATTGCTGTTTGGTTCGAATATAGAAAATGGAAACGGCTCTGGAAGAGCCTGTGTACAGGTATGAAATATACAAACGAAGAGGAGGGAGCTAAGGAGACCACGTTCCAGCCCAGCCCAAGGGGCTGGGAATGGGGGCCATCCGGGGCGCATGCAATAAATATGTTCCGGGGCCCCAGGGAAGGGAGGGGAACACCTTCGGAGTGGGAGACAGGTAGGCCAAGGCTACTCAGCCCTGGCTCCATAACTCCCTACCCTGGTGGGTACAGAGGGAAGGGTGGGCCCTGGGGCTAGTGCCACTTGTGCAAAATGAGGAACTTCACATTATCAGTCCCGGGGCGGGCAGAAGCGGGAGGCAGGGGCCCTCCGGCCGGCTCAGTCCCCTTCCCTCTCCCCAACTCTGCCCAATGCTCCGACCCCAGCGGGGAGATTCACAGTGAGAGTAGGTGTGGTCGCAAGGGCCGGAGGTAGGGCTAGGAGCGCCCGAACAGTGACACCCCTCCCCCAAGAGCAGCACGGAGCCAGGGGAAGGAGCCAATGAACCACAGAAAGGCAGGGAGAGGCCGGGGGTCTCCTTTGGTCAAAGCTGATATCAAAAATATAAATCTCCCTTCCCCCAACCCACCCCCGTCCCGGGGTTTTCCCCCACCCCCGGGCTAAGGCACAAAGCAGTGAGGCCAGGTGGAGCCGCCACTGCGGCCGGCTGCCGCTGCTACTAGTCCCGAGAGCGGTGCCTGCGCGCTGCCTGCGCCGCTTCCTTAAGAGAACGAGCCAGGCCGCGAGGCAGTGGTCGGCCGGGCCGGCGAGGGGCGCTCTAGGTGGGAGAGAAACGGTCGATGGTCCGGCCGTCGGGTCCAGCGGCCAGGTGAGCGCCCTGGCTCAGCACTTCGGCCGCTTTGTCTGGGCTGAGGCCCAGCTCCGCAGTGAACTTGGCCAGCGGGTAGAGGCTCTCGAGCGCCACCTTGGGATCGTGCAGGAAGTGCGTGGTCTGCGCCAGCAGTTCAGCCGCAGCCGCCTTGTCCTGCTGCTTCAGGCTCAACTGTTCAGCCGTGAGGCGGGCCACAGCAAAGACGCCCTCGGGGAAGTCGAGCTTGCCCTTGCCATCGGGGCCTGGGACGCCGGGAAGTCCCCCTAGGCCTGCCAGCGCCCCGGCTGCACCGGCTGCGCCACCTACGGCGTGCATCTTCATGTGGCTGATGAGGTTGCGTTGCTGTGCGAACTTGCCACCGCACACCTGGCATTCGTAGGGTTTCTCGCCCGAGTGGATGCGCATGTGCTCGGTGAGGCGGTACTGGCGGGTGAAGCGCATGCCACACGCGTCACACGCAAAGGGCTTGAGACCCAGGTGGCTGCGCATGTGGCGTGTCATGGTTCCGCGCTGCGTAAACTTCTTCCCGCAAATGGTACATGGATAGGGCCGGGTCAGCCAGTGCGTCTTCTCGTGCTGCCGCAGTGTGGCCGGGTCCTTGTAGCTCTTGTCGCAGGACGCGCAGCGGTACGGCCGCAGCAGCTCTCCCAGACCGCCTGGAGCCCCAGCAACCTTGTCCCCACCGCTGCCATAAGGGGGCCCGAGGCCGGCGGCCCCGGCAGCCACCTCAGCCGCCTCGGCCCTGCCATAAAGCGCCTCCTCCTCTTCCACGTGAGCCTCCACGTGCGCGTTCAGCTGTTCAGAGCTGGGAAAGCCCTTGCCACATGGGATACACACGTACAGGTTGTCACCAAAGCTCTCTGGCTCGCCATAAGCCAGGTGCGGGCATGGGTAGCCCTCAAGGTGGCCTCCGGGTGGGCTAGGATCCTCACTACTGCCAGTCTCCTCGCTGCTGCTCTTGTAGTCGTCGCCATCGCCGCCTGTGCCGGGTCCGTCCAGGCTGCCCGGGTAGCGCGGCGGCGGCACCAGGCCGAGCGGTGGCCCCCCGGGCGATGTGGCCGGGTCCCCGCCGCGCTCCTCGCAGCGCTCTCCTGAGGACCCGCGATCTCGGCCCAGTTCGTCGCCGTAGCTACCCAGGCCCGGTTCGTGTTTCATCCAGCGGTAGAGAAGGCTGGACCCGTCGGGGCGTCCGGGGGGCTCGGGTCCCGGGCTGCCGCCGCTGCCACGAAACGGGTCCGGAGTCGGTGCGGCCTCCTCCAGCTTCTGAAAGGGCAGTGGGGGCAGCGGCGGCAGGCCAAGCGGTGGGTCCTTGTAGGCGGTGGGACCCGCACTGGGAGGGCTGTCGGGGCGCGGGGGCAGCTCGCGCTCACTCAGCGGCCGCTCGGGAGCCGAAGAACCGGGTGGGCTCTTCTTGGACAGGTCCAGGCCGCAGAGTGGGGAGCAGCGGCGCTCCGGGACGCAGAGGGCAGCGGCCGGGCCCGGGCCCGAGGCGTACAGCTCAGCGCAGTGTGTATTGACCGCAGCCTCGGGGCCCGACGACGGCTCGGCGGCGGGCGGCGGCGGAGGCCCGGCCGGAGACGAGTAGCAGGCCTGGATGACGGGCGTCGCGGCCCTCAGGCCCCGGCCCGGCCGCCCATAGGGTGCATAGCCGCCGCCGCCACTGCCGCCTCCCCGCAGGTGGCAGTACTTGCCGTGGCGCTTGAGGCGCTTCTTGCACAGCGCCACGAGGTCAGGGATCTGCAGGTAGCTGGCGGCGGCCAGCACGGCGCCCAGGCTCGGCTCGGCCCCCGGGGCCACCGCTGCGGCTGCCGCTGCCTCTGCCCCATCAGCCAGGCGGCCGGTGTAGATGAAGTCAAGCACCAGGCGGAACACGGCCGGGCTCACCATGTCATGGTCCAGGTTTAGCAGGTTGTCATGCACCACCAGGGACTTGAGGTAGGCGCTGCTGGCCGCCAGCACGTTCTTGTGCGCGCGGAAGAGGGCGTTCTGCACCACGATGATCACGTCGCACAAGAAGCCTTTGGTGCGCTGGTTGTTGAGCTGCAGCAGCAGCTGCCTCGAGTGGCCGGGCGCCTCCATCGTGTCCAGCATCGTCTGCCCAGCACACTCTCCTGCGGGGACACACACCAGCCGGGTAAGAGCCACGCAGTGCCCTGGTCGCCTGTACCCAGCCCGGCACTTCTCCCTCCACTTCCCCTTCCCCTCAGCTGAGCAGGGGCATGGAACACCGCGGCCTGGGCACTGGCGGAGGAGGATCGGCGGCCTGCGGGAGTGGGAGTCTAGGCCCGCCGGCCCGAAGTAGAGGAAGGAGCAGGAGGAGAACGGCTGCGGATGGAGAGGAGGCCAAGCTGGCCTGTGCGCGCCAGGCCCAGACGCTGCTGGGCACAAGGGCTGGTGCTGGGGACTTCCAAGGAGAAAATTGATCAGATGAAGTGACCCTTTCGAAGGAGACAATTACCCGACTTAAATAAAATGTCCGCTTCAGGAAAAGTCATTCAGGACCGAGAATTTTGCCCAAGTGGGAAGAAAAGGAGTCGAGTAAGAAATGCCTCCCGCCTCGGGAGAAGTTGCCCCAGCTGGGGTAAGTGATACGAAGGACAGGAGAGCGGTGCCCACCGAGGCGCCGCCCCGGCCTGGGGCTGTCAGGCCCTTGGTTGGGCCCAGGGTAGTGGCGCGAGGATGGAGACAGCGGCTGCCGTGGCGGGCAGAGCGCGAAGGCCGGGCCCCGGCGCGGGGAGGGCGTTATATCAGGGCAGGAGGCTGAGGCAGGAAGCAGGTGGGGGGGAGGGGGGAGCCACGCAGCTCCCAGGGGAGGGAGGGGGCAGCGCCCCGGGCGGGCACGGCGCTCAGCCGGCTGCGGCCCTGACCCCGGCCTGCGCCCCACCCGCGTTCCGACTCCAGCCCTGGCCTCGACTCTACATTCGCGGCCCTGGCGCCTCCCTCCCCAGCTAGCTCCCCTCGACCCCCTTCTCCCCCGGAACTCTGCCGCCCCAAACTTAGGGAAAAGTTTCCCAACTTCAGACAGGGCGGGAGGAGAGCGCCAGCCCCAGTCCCTGCGCTCCCAGCTTTCCCTCTCAAGTCCCCAATTCCGGCGGCCAAGCAGCCGCGGGTCCCGAGCCGAGTCCTGAGCTCCGCTGCCCGCCTGCTCGCCCGCCCGACCCCATTCCCCGCCTGGCCCGCAGGGCCTCGCGGCCCGTTACCTGCGGCCGCAGCCCGGCTGGGCTTCCCTCCCCGCGGCAGTGGCAGCTCCTAGCCCGCGCCCCACCCGCCCCGCTGCCAGGCGCCGAGCTGTGCCAGGGCAGCGCCCCTGCCTGCCCCGCCCGCCAGCTCCCCTTCTCTTCCCCTCTCCTCTCCAGCCCATGTGCGGGCAGAACCGGCCCCGGGCCGCTGACCCCACCGTGAACCCGGCGCGGAGCAGCGGCCCTGCGGTCCTGAGTCCTCTAGGGAAGACATTCGGAGCCCTGAACGCCAGCTGCGATGGGGCGCCCGCGCCAGAGGATGCGCCCGAGGCAGCCAGCACGCGAGTACCGGGCTGTCTCGGGTCCCTTGTCCCTCCCGGTCCCCAGCTCGAAGGCCCACCTGGGGGGCATGTCGAAAGCCCCGGGCCCGGCTGACGGCGGATCCAGGGGGGATGTGGCTGCGCTGCGCTGCCCTCCGCCCGCCGGGCCCCCGGTCGGTCTGTCCTGCTGGTCCGTCCTCCCCGCGTCCTGGTCGCGTCTCAGACCCGCCGCGCTTTCCGCACACTCTTATCTGGGGCTGCCCCGGCCAGCAGGCGCTGCTGCAGCTATGGCGCCACCTCGCGGCCATAGGGGACTGCGCCTCCCGGCTGCAGCCGCCCTCCCTCGCACCTGGGCTGGAGGCTTGCAGATGCCCAGCTAAGCTGGGAATGTGTGTGCAGGTTTACGCTTCCAGATGTGCCCACCTGAGACGCGGACCCGCGAGTCCTGCAAGCCCTAGGGCTTTGGGCTGAGCACTCTCCTTAACACATTTCTATGAATTTAGCTCCAGTTCGGGAAAAGTGCTGCCCAAAAGGAAGCGACGGTGGTGAGGGAGCTTATGGAAATCCTAAAGAGATGAAAGTAGACAAGATCTCGGGGGACTCTCCTTACACATCCCCGGGCGCGACTTTCCCCTTCGACCTACCCCCAGTACGCCCACTCGAGCACATGGGTTAAGTATGCACAGCACAAAGCCGTGTGCACCCAGACCCTATCCAGGTTTACACACACACCCCGCCCCCTCCCGGAGTCGCAGCTGTCTGGGATACTCCTGGGGCTGCTACGTAGTGCCCCGCCCCGAACTTGCGGGTGTCCGGAGAGACCCCAGGATGCCCGGCTGGAAAGGGCTGGACAGAGCCTCATAGGGATCCGCAGGAGTGACCCCAGATCCCCCATGCGAGCCGTTTAGAGAGACCCCGAGTGAGTGATTTTTTTTTCTCCAATCCAACCATAAAACATGACCTGAAAGGCTATGGCTTGGGACCCCCCCCGAAAAAGTTCTGAACCCCACATAAAGGATGGGTTCACTCCAGTGACGAATGCCTCTTCTAGAAAGGAGGGGCACCGGCTGGCGCGTGCACCACTATTCCGGAAGTGTCCCCTCGCAGCCGGGTGGAGGCACTAGGACTGTGGCAAGCCCCGCGTCTCTGAGGCCCACGCTCCGCCTCCTCTCCCCCGCAACTCCTGACCCCCGCCCACACGCGAACCCCCCCCCCGAAACCGCCCGCAGCCTCTGATTGGCTGCGCCTTCCTCAGCGCGAAGCGGAGAGACTGGAGCGCAGCGTCACCATGGTAACCAATGAGATTCGCCCAGATCGCGTCTCTCCGAAGCCTTGACGAGCTTAGCAACCGCGCCGGGCCGCAGGGCGGGCGGAGGCCACACTCGCCGCCCTCCGCACTGTCCTCTGCCCCCACGCCCCCGCTAGAGGCAGTGGCTGAGTCACTCCGCCAGGGGCGGCCGGCGTGGCCACTTGCTGTCCCTGACCGACACCAAGGTCTTGGGCGCCCCCCAGAGGTTTGGTTTCCTTCGCAGGCGGCTTCAGTGCCGGGTTGGGGCTTGTGGTCCAAACAAGTCCTCCCGCCTGAGTCCCGCTGCGTCTTGGGTTTGCCTCCTTCCCTCGTGTCCGCTCTGTGTTCTGGATTCATCTTATCCACGTACTGCATCTCACCACGGCCACAGCGTCCTCACCAAGCAAGTACTAAGGTCCCAAAGCAGAAAACAGTGTGCTTCAGAGTTTGACCTCTATCAGAGGTGGACCCCCCCACATCTCTGCCGAGTAAAGGCTAAGGTAGAAAAGTGTACAGAAGTGTTTGGGGTGGGGGCGGTGAGAGAATCAATAGAAGTGCTCTTAGAGCTGGGTTTTGACGGATGAATAAGAGTTCTCCCGCCCAGTTGGAAGGTATTTCTGGAGAACAGAATTACTGGAACAAAGATTTTGGCAAAATAACGGGAACTCTAGAATCACAAAGGGCAAGCTGAGCTTCTCTGAGCTCATCTCTGCTTTAATCTTTTCTCCTCCTCTTGGGGTCAGATCATCCATGTCTCAAGATTAGTCCCTCAGCCCTGTCTTTTGCGTCCACAATCTTTGCTTTTATTCTTTAGCACTTGCACCAAGTTAACCCCTACCCCGCACCCTCAAGCCCTCATTGCATCAGTATGAGAAGGGTCTTAGCCTTGCTCCTAGCCCAGTGGCAACGTCAGAGCCCCTAATTCTCCTGTGGAATCTATTCCATGCTTCAACCATTCCCTTCTTCGTCAGCTCCACCAGCCAGCTCCACACTGCTTCCTCTCCACCCTTGTCCAGCTCCACCCTGTAAACACTCCTGCCCCATTTAGAGCCTAGGGTTGGGCGGGCCATTTATTTGCCGGCTACTGTTCCGAAGAACTGCCCCCACGTGGCACGGACTCCTGTCAATTCTGACCCTCAGGTCAGACTCTAATTCCTCCAGGAAGTGGTCCCCACACCCCCTTCTCTTAAGCTGCTGAGCCCTTGGTCTCCTTCACCCTCATAGGAGCTCTGCCGTAAGTGCGCCACAAATGAGTGCTGAGGTGGTCCCTGGGTGCCAGAGCTGGGCACTGCCACCTATGCTCTTGTCCGCTTGCCAGGCTTCCTTTTGCCCCTTCTTCCTTTTTTCTCCACCTCCCTCATTTGAACCCATCACTCCTTTCTGGGAAGCCCAGATCTCTGTCCTTAACCACTTGGCCTTTCCTCGGGTCTCCAGCTCAGGACTGGTACCTGAACCCCGCTGTGCCTACCTTTCCCATGTCCACCCCCGCCCAATCCCCAAGCTTCCTGGACTCTTCTACCTTTCTTCCCCTCGCCACCCTCCACCGGGATGCCACGCCACGGCGCTGGATGCACGCTAGACCCCTCGGCGGATGTAGCTTCTTTTCCTACGCCCCCCTCCCTCGCCCCAGGAAGACGGTGACACTACAGTAGCCATGCAGAGTGTGACGCCGGCGCGTGGCATCCTGTGATGTCATAGAGCCGTCCAGTCCTGGAACTGAGGCATGGGATTGGGGGCTACAGGGTGAGGACCGCCGAGGGACAGGCGGGGAGGAGGCTGAGCCCCCAGGAGCCCCAGCTCCGGAAGGGGAGAATGATAAACATGTAACGGAGCCGCCGCACCCTCCCTGCACTCCTCCCCCGGCCCCGAGCCCCGCAGTTCCGGAAAGTTAACCCCTTGTAGACCAGGACAGGGGGCGCATGGTCCCCCTACCCGATCCAACTTCCGCGCACCCTCCTCCCCCTCCCAATTCCCATCGCTTCGGTCCCCACCACCTCACCCCCCGCCTCGCCACTATAAATAGCCCCTTTTCCCGTTTCCTAAATTCCCCGCTGACGTCGGCAGCGCGTCAGTGTGTAGGAGCCGCGGCCGCATGAATGAGCCGCCACACGAGTACTACGCGCGTCTATAAAAGCGGCGGCTCCCGCCGGGCTGCGGGAGGCGAGCGGGCGCTGGCGCGACGCGGCCCGCCAGGTAAGCGGTACCGACGGACCGATGGGCCACAGATGGACCGGTACGCGGACACGGGTGGGGGAGGAGGAGAAGACCGGTGGGCAGAGGGTTGGAGGTCTTTACAGAGTGGGGATGGGGACAGGATGGGAGGGACGAGTGTTCTTGCAGCTGGCGGATCAGGGGCCAGAGATTGACAACCCCGCTCAGCACCTGCCCGCGCCCAGATGGAGACGCAGCCACTCTGGAGGCGCATCCAGGAGAGACTGGACCCGAGACCCTGAAGCTTTCGGTGGGTCTCCTGCGCCATCCTCCCAAGAAAGTGGGGAGAAGGTGCTGGTACCCCAGGAGACGCGCCCCCATCCTCCCCCTCCCTCCCCGCAGCGCGGTGACTCAGCCTAGCCCAGCTCTCCTGGACTGCTGACTGAGCGGGGGCGGCGGCGAGAGATAGACGCCCACCTGCCCCCAGCCTCAGCTGCTGCTCTCTCGGGACCCCTGCCCCGCATTTCGCCCCAGCGCCCCTCTCCCCGTCCCCTCCCGTCGGGCTGTGCCACTGCGCCCACGACTTCCCGCCTCTGCAAGTGGAGCTGTCCTCTCAGGACCAAGCGGGGGCGGGGCTTCGGCCAGGGCGCCCCGCCCCCACCCGCCGGAAGCGCCTCCTGCCAGGACATCTTTGACGTCACAGGACTCTGACGTCAAGGGTCGCGTGCCTGTCCGCGAGTGTTGAGGCCAAGAAGGGCAGGAGACGTGGGGGAGGAGGAGCAACAACGCCCCCAGCCGCGGGCTACGGGGGCACCCCTGTCCGGGCAGCGCGTCGGCACCTTGGCTCTAGACTGCTTACTGCCCGGGCCGCCCTCAGTAACAGTCTCCAGTCACGGCCACCGACGCCTGGCCCCGCCCCAGGACCGCGGACCCGGCTCCCCGCCGCGCCCTGGGGCCCTTCTGTCCCTCGGGGTCCCGCAACCCCGCGCTGGCTGCTTGCGCTGCCGCTGTCCGCGGTGCTGATGCAGCGCGGGCGCCACCCTCGGGCCATCCCGTTCTGGGTCCCCGGGGACTGCGAGAGGCTCCTGGCCCACACGCACGCTCCGCACAGCCCCCGCGCCAAGTAGTGCCGGTCGCGACACCGCCTCCAGCCCGCGCCGCAGCCGCCCCCAGCCCCCCGGCCCCGGCCCCGCGGTGCTGACGTCAGCCGCCCCGAGCTGCAGCCGCGGTGCCGTCAGCGGCGCGCGCCCCGCCCCCGCGTCTCCAGGGCAACCGTGGCTTTCGATTGTTACTGTGGGAACCGGAGGTAACAGTCTACAGCCATGGTCGCCCCGCAGCACGCCCACGCGCCGCAGCACGCCGCGTTCTGCCAGCCCCGGCTTGGGGAGACGCAGAGCAAGAGGAGGAGGGGCGGCTGTGACCGCGGGGGTGACACGAGGTGTGCGCGGGAAGGTGGAGGCGGGCCCTGGGGTCTGCCCGCTGCGCATCCACCCAGGCACCAGAGGAAGCACGGTCCGCGCAGTGGGTCTGACCGTCCGCTTCAGTGACTGTGCTGTCCCCGCAGCCGAGGTATCGCTGCCCGGGGATGGTCAGAAAGCAGGTGGTTCTGGGGCGTGGATTCCTATCTCCTCGGCGGGAGATAGGCTGCTGGAATGAAGAGGTATGAAAGAATGTTGTTTGCCTCCTAAGTACTGAAGGGGGCAGAAGGAGTGCGCCACACCTTTCTTCCAGGAACCCCTAGTTGAGCAAGGCAGAGGGCGAAGAATAAACCCTTGAATCTGTTTCCTGCTAGATAGGGCTACCGCATCCCCTCAGTCCCTTCCCCAACTTTCTCTTGAGCCATGAAGGATAAGAATGGTCCCTAATACTCAAGAAGCCGATAGGCTAGTAAAGTTCACCTGGTCCCTGAAGCATTGCCTGAACATACCAGCATTCTCACCTCAGCCTGTCTCTAGATGCTGAATTCCAGTTTGAGAGTTTCTCAGATTTGCTCTAAAGAGGAGAATTCCACAGGGGCCGAAGTCCTGTTCCACCAGTGAAGTGTGAGCAATGACCTCTTCAAAAACAATTATGTCATCTGTCACTGCCAACATCACCCATCGCTGAGGCTGGCTGAAAGTATCAGGTGTGGAACTTCAGGGATGGTGTAGGAAGTGATTAAGGCAAGGCACTACTCATTAGGCCAATTTTGATTTCCTTCTCCACACACACCATCCTTTTCTAAATTACTTCTAAGATACTTGGTGGTGGTCTCCCAGCTAATCACACTCCACTACTCCATTGGCTGCTCAGGATTCTGAGGTCTTGGAGCAAAACGTGTTTCATTCTGGACTCCAGACATCTCTGGGCCCATTGTCGTGTGTGCAGGTGGGAGAGTATATTGGGAAGTGAGAAGTCCAACCTGCCTTTATAATCAAGTGGCTGTTAAATGGCCATGTTCTGGATTTTTTTTCTTTTTTTTTTTTTTGTGGTACTGGGGTTTGAACTCAGGGCTGCACACTTGCTAGGCAGGTAGGTGCTCTACCACTTGAGTCACTCTGCCTGCCAGCGTTCTAGATTTTTGGGAGGAGTTGTGTTTTTGAGGTAATGGGAATTGAACCCAATACCTTGTTCTTGTTAGGCAAGAGCTCTACCACTTGAGAGCTCTTGCTCTCAACCCCCCCACCCGGCCCTCGTCTTTTTCTGGTACTGAGGGTTGGGTTCAAGGCCAAACACTAGGCAGGTGTTCTACTTCTCAAGTTACACCCCTAGCCCTTTTGCTTTATTTTTGGGATAGGGTCTTCAGTTTTTCCCCAGGCTGGCCTGAACCATAATCCTCCTGTTTATGCTTTCTGAATAGCTGTGATTACAGGTGTGCCCCACCACACCCAGTTTCATTTGTTGAGACAGGGGTCTTGCAAACTTTTTGCCTGGGCTGGGCTCAAACCTCAATCTTCTCTATCTCTGCCTCCCGATTACAGGTATGAGGCATTGCATCTGGCTTTATTGTTTTTTGAGACAGGATGTTGATAACTTTGCCTGCACTGGCCTTGCACCCACAATCCTTCAGCCTCCGCTGAGATTACAGGCATGCTTCATCACCACCTGCTGCTGTGTGATCTGTTTCTGACCCTTCTGCAAAACCTGATAATCCCTCTTAGCAGGTGCATTGTGAGGATGAAATAGGAAGTGAAAATCCTTGAAACAGCAGAACTCGATTCCAATCTTACATATCTTATAGGACACAACATGTTTGTGGGTGGATTGTTAGGAGACCTCCGCTCTGGGCCCTTAGGCAGAAAAAGGAGAGCACACTTCCCTGTGCAGATGCTCTAGAAAGAAGGCTGTCGAGGGGTTCTTTCCTAAGGGACTCTGCCCAGAGCTTTAGAAATCCAAGGTACAGTTGGAGGTAGAACAGAGAAATGGTAGGGATGTTCTGAAGAGGCCAAGTCTTTTGCAGTTTGAACCCATCCGAAAAATGCAGTCAGAGGGGAAAACCTGAGAACTCACCATACAGTGCTAAACACACTTAGTGTGTCCCCTCCTCCAACGTATGTTATGGAATGGGAAACTAAGGCTCAGACAAGTGACATAGCCCAAGTACTTGTCTTCCACAGTGCAGCAGAGAAAACAGTGACTAAAGCCAGGAGCAGTGGCATGTACCTGTAGTTCCAGCTACTTAGGAGGCTGATGTAGCAGGGCTTGAGACTAGGAGTTCCAGGCCAGCCCAGCCTAGTGGACCTGGTCTTAAAAAAAAAAAAAAGAGCAGACTATTAACAGACAAGAATGTGAGTTCTTGAGCCAGGCACCAGTGGCTCATGCCTGTAACCAATCAATCCTAGCTACTTGGGAGGCTATCAGGAGGATCCAGGTTCAAAGCCAGCCTAGGAAAATAGTTGGGAGTTCATCTCCAAAATAACCAGGGCACAAACGGACTGGAGGCATGGCTCAAATGGCAGAGTACCTACTTTGCAAGCGTGAAGCCAAGCCTTGAATTCAAACCCCAGTACCACCCAAAAAAGAGCATGACCACTCCACAGCCATGAAGATCCAGAGTGAGCAAGAGCTGGGGGCGTGGCTCAAGTGTTAGAGTGCCTGCTTAGCAAGCACAAGGCCCTGAGATCAAACCACAGTACTGCCAAAAGAAGGAAAAAAAAAAAAAAGAGCAAGAGAGAAGGGGGGAAAAGGGAGGAGGAAGGACAGGACGAAGGAAAGGAAGTTATTGAATCTGAACCTTGGTGGCTGGAGGTGTGGTTTAAGCAGTAGAGGGCCTGCCTACCAAGTGGGAATCCCTAAGTGCAAACCCCAGCACTGCCAAAAAAAAAAAAAAACCAAACAAACAAAAAAAAACTGAATCCAACCTTGGTAAGTCGCTTGGCCTCTCTGTGCCTGTTTCCTCAACTGTAAAATTAGGTTCTTAGCTTAATAACAAACAGTCCTTGCCTCATGAAGTCATAAAATTAAATTAGGCATGGAAGGGTCTAGGGTGTAGCTCAATGATAGAGGGCATACATACCATGCTAGAGACCCTGGGTTCAACCCCTAGTACCAAAATAAAATTTAAGTTAGGCAAAGGCTCCTTCCTATCAGTGTCTGGCATACAGTCAGTACTCAATAAACACTTTCTGTCCTCTTAGCTATAAATTAAAAATGTGAGCTCAATGATTCTTCAGGAGAGCTTGTTCCCCCCGCCTAGGTTTACATGACAATCACACTGGGGACTTTTTCCCCCCAATAACACATACTCCCGGAGACTTTATTCTATTTCCCAAGGCAATGGTTTTCAAATAATACCTCAATGAGGAAGAACCAAGGGGCAGTTTGTCCCAGTGATTCTGACAGAAGCTCCTTTGTAGGTGGCCCATAGACCCTGTGCATGTGGTGGTGGTATTAGACGGGGTAAACAACCTCCTCAAATTCTTTTCTGTTCTTGGAGAGCATGAAGGGAAGTGACGTCCCACTTGTTGGGAGCTAGTGGACCATATGATCTATTACCTTGGGCATTCTGATTCTCAGGAGAAATTCTCCTCAACCCAAGTATGAGCACTTGTGTTCCATCTAATTGTTCTGTCCTACACCCCTCCTCCCCTTCTAGCTTTAAGCTCTGGTTTAAAATCCATTCCCTCAAGCTATCTTGCTCTCTTTTAACCAACATAACAACTCCAAGTAGTAACAGCTGGGCCATGCAAGTCCTCATTTTCACTCTTTTGGCCTAACTAAAGAGAGCAGCCTATGCCAGGAGGTATGTGATCTGCAGATCCATTACTTACAGAAAAGCCAGGAATCCTATGGGCCAAATCCAACAAGTCTGTAAGAATAACTCAATCCTTTTGCCAAGGAAGTCATTCCTTTAAAACAAAAGCAAGGCAGAGGCCAACTTCTAACCTGGTGCAACATAAACTTTCTATTGTAAAGGCTCTAAACCCAGTAGAATGGATCTCTGGGCAAGTAATTCCAGTTTGTCTTGCACAGCTTCTACCCGTAGAGAAGAACCTACAACTTTGTGTAACCTATGAAGTATGTGGTTGTCAAAAACAATGAACTGGGATATTTGTACTAACCCTAACTCCTGCTCAGTTACTAAGCTTCCTGGGGGATACTGTGGCTCAGGGCTCGATAGGTCTATTGTGAAATTCTACAAATTGCACCAGTTTCCATCTGCAGAGGCAGGAAAGAAGTTACAATCTGGGAAGGGGGAGGAGTGGTAAAAAGAATCAGCAGAACTGGGAGGGAAATGAGTATAGAGGGCAGTGCTTTAAGTGCATGGGACTGACTGTACTCCCCAAGGGCAAACCAGCTGGACTACTTAGGTCTTGGCTAAAGTCACTCCATCAATGATAATTACCATCATCAATTTTGCATGGGATTCATCTCAGGAACCCTGCAGACAGGGTCAAGCTAGGAAGAGGCTGTTTATTCTACGCTCTCACTGGCCCCCTGCCTGAGGTCTGGTACCACCTCACCCTTCAAGCTCATAGTTCAGAGGGGCTGGGGCAGTTAAAGAGCAGACAGCAAAGAATGAGGGAAGGCAAGCCCACAATTCTCAAGGATCAAGATGGAGGAAGCTTCAGGCTGGTGGAGTGACTCAAATGCTAGAGCGCCTGCCTAGCAAGCCTAAGACCCTGAGTTCAAATCCTAGTACTGCCAAAAAAAAAAAAGACTTAAGGTAAAGGAAGCCTAAAATCAATGCGGCCCAGGCAGAGCCTTGCCAGGTAACCTCTGATGAAAACTTCTCAAGTGTAAATTCTTCTCTGATTCATCCACCAAGGCCTCCTTTTCTTCAGTCTGGAACTTAAGACTTCCACCAAAAATGTGAGTACACATATGTACAAGCTTGTTCTGGGGAACTCACCTACAGTGGGAGAAGTACCTCCCCACTTGGTGCTGCCTAGGGAGCTGTGTGGATGGTCAGGAAACCAGACTTGCATTATAAAATGAGTTTTTCTATGTGTATTAGAAAAAAGGTGTTCAAAATCCAAACCACTTTATTGTGGCAGTAGCAGTGATGCCAGCCCCTGCTTTCTCATCCAGGGTTCTCTGGCCTTTTTCATGTTTGATTATCAGAAACCAAAGTTTATTAAGGTCTGCTCCCCTTTTTCTGCACAGCAGGGCTTATATTAGTACACTCCTGAGAACCAATAATTAGCACAGCAGTGGAGGTCCCAGGGTGGGGAAAGAAGGGCATAGATTACAGCTGCTCAGAGGCTTCAGAGACGTTTGATGATCTTTCATTCTGAAAACTGGTTCAAGAATTTGAGATAGGCTTGGCGCTGGGATGCAGCCGCTGGAATGAAGTGGCCCCCAGAGTGAGTAAGGGTGATGGCGCCTGGGAATTGGCTAGCCAATTGCATACTCTCCTGAGAAGGGATGACTCCATCAGTGTCCCCGAAAACGTGGAGCGAAGGCAGTAACAACGGGCTCTGCAGGATGGGTTCCTTGAGGCTAGGGCCCCGGGGGCAGAAACCAGACACAAGGATGATAAACCGTGGCAAGGGAAAGCGGGGATCACCCGCCTGGCCCAGGGCACACACAAGGGCTGCTAATGCAGCCCCCTGGCTGAAGCCAAGAAGTCCGTCAAAAGGCCCCTGCTTGTCCAGTGCCTGTGCCACGGTTCCCAGAGCTTCCTCCAGACCCCGGCACACTGCAGGCTCTTCCAGTGCGGAGAAAACGTCTGCCTGCTGCTCGGAAAACCACCAACCTCGAGGCTGCTCCTCCGGAGGCAAAGGCCCTACAAGGGAAGAGGATCGCGGTAGGGCGAGGGGGAAAAGACAGAGGGACAGGGAATGGGGGACATGAGGCTTGGCGGTAACTGGAGACAAGAGGAAGCAGAAGCCTGGGGGCCACGGCTCGAGTCAGAGCCGGAGGGGCTGGGTGGGAGGAATAAGGAGAGGGCACAGGGTCGGGGCATTAAGGGACAGAGCGAGATAACCAAGACACTGGGAGCATTTCCCGAGCGGGGCTCGTCTCACCGGAGTCTGGCCCGGCGCCGTAGAGGCCCGCTGCGTCGGGGAGCAGGTGCGGGCCACTGAGGCACACGAGCTCGGCGCGGCCCCGCAACGCCTTCCTCAGCGCGCCAGTCTTCTCGCGGAAGCCCCGCTCGCTCTGCCGGAAGCCCGCCAGGCACAAGACCCGCAGGGGCTGCCGAGCCGCCATCCTGGCAGGTAGCGCGCCACAGGAAGACCGGAAGCGGTCCTTCCCCGAGCGGAAGTGAAATATGCGAGGGGCGGGACCAAGTGCCAGTACCACCCTGAAGGCGGGGCTCCGAGTGGGAGGGCGCTCCTACGACAACGGAGAGGGGTGGGAAGTAGCCAGAACAGCGGCGGATACCTGCGACTCAAGGAGCCAGCGGCGCCACTTTCTCGTCTCTGCAGCTGCAGCCTTCGCAAGCCACGTCTGGAGAGGGGCGCGTGGACTCCTCCTGCACCTGAGGTTGCAGACTTAAGTCAGGGTCTCGCTTCTGTGACGACCTCCACTCCGCTGTCGTGCAGTTCCCCTAGCGGCCGCAGGGCGGCGTCTCCGAGAGGCGGCCAGTACCAAGGCCGCGCCCCGGGGCTGCCTCTCCCGCTCCTTGAAGTCCCTGCCTACCTTCTCCAACACCGGCCGGCCAGGGCCCTGGGGGGTTCGGTCCCGCCCGTGGTTCACAGTCCACGGCCCCAAGGAGCTGCCCGCGTAGAAGTCCATAGGGTAGGGCTGCTGCCAGGAAATGTCTCTCAGGGCCACAGCCGCCTGCGGGAAGAAAACCGGACACGTGCCAACATTTTTCTGCGCTAGGATTGAGTGCATAACTCACAACAGTCTATAAAGGTATAGATTATCCCCATACTGCAGAAAAGTCAGGTGAAGGGACCTGCCTAAAGTGACACAGCAAGGAATGGGGCTCAGTTGAGAGATTCAAGACGTCTGACTTCAGAACCTATGAACAACCTAAGTACTGCCCATCCACTCTCCACCTCAGAGCCCTCCTGACAGAAGGTACAAAGCCCACTCCTCCACCAATTTTCAAAACCTGGTGTTACCTCGTAGGGCGTCAGCAATGGCTTGGGGAAAGCTTTGCCCCAGTCAATGGAGAGGCGTGGACATGCCACCTGCACCCACCTGGGAAGGGAAGCCAGGTAAGACAGGAGGTAGAAGGCAGCCCCTCTTCTGGGCAGCATGTTGAAAAACATGAGTGCCTAGACATACCAGTTAATCAATAGAATTTATGAATCCTAAAGTAAAACTGGTGCCTACTGCTGTTTAGAATACAATACTGTTCTTATTTTCCCATTTCCTGCACTGACTCTGAACTTTCTAAGGGCAGTTCATTTGTGATCCTTTCCCCAGAACCAAATTTAGTACCTGATACAGTACGGTGCCCTCAGATTTATCTCACCAGAACTACTGCGGTGTTACCATTGCCTCTGAGCCCCAAGTCTAGACAGAGCAGGTGACCCACTGTCAAGGGTGGCCCCTGCTGGGCAAGTGCTTGGTAAACATTAAAATTTCATGATCATGTATGGAATTCCCATTGATTGCATCCTTCAATCTGTGCTGAGCAGGTCCCAAGTTTAACTGTTTTAGCAGAGTTAGGATAGGTAGGTAAGGTGGGGAAACTCACACATCCACCCCAGGAAGTAGACTGAGTTTGCTGGGGAAGATCTCAGAGAGCAGCAGCCTCACAAAGGGAAGTCCCAAGGCTTGGAGCCGAGATTCCAGGTGCTGTTGTGAGAAGGAAGCAGCCAAAGCTAAATTCCGTGGCCTACTCATTTTCCCAGCTGGTTTTCAGGCAGCCCTACTCCTCCAGAGGCCACCCTGAGTCCTCTGACCTCAAGGATCTTAGGACTGCCCTGGCGGCCCAAAGTTCCCAGAATAAGGCCCCAGGACTTGGCAGAGCGGGCAGTGGCTATGGCTTCCTGACGAGTGGCCTGCATGCGCTGGTGGTCATAGTGCTCCCTGGACAAGATTTTGCTGTATGGGTCATACCTGGAAGAGAAGTTGCCAGGGTCATTGTGACAGCCACTCTTGTTATATATATGGCTCCCTGACTTAGGCCTCAAGCAAGTAATTAGGAATCAGGTCCAAGACAAGAACAGGGATTATCACTTGGGAGATCAGCCCCACAGCTGGAGCAGGCAAGAGTTGAGGAAGTATTTTAGAATCTCAGTGTGAATCTCAGGACCCAAGTGCCTCAGACCCTTATAACTGGGGAATGTTTATCACTGAGGCAGAAAATGACCTTTCAGCCTATTGAAGGCCTTAGGGGCAGAGACTCTGACCCCTCCACAGCTGGTCAATCCCACCAAGCCTATACCTGTAAGCAGGAACACTGGGGTTGGCAATCATGACAGACTCCAGATGGAAGCGGCCATCTCCAAGATACCTACAGGGGTGGAGAGAGACAGTGTGATGTGGAGCAGCAGAAGAGGCACTCTGGGTTAGAGGTACAAAGGGCTGAGTTCTCAACTGCCTGTGCTACTGACTTTGTGTGTAAACTGGACAAGTGGTCATATCACCTGTCAGCAACTCAGTTTGACCTGGATGCCTGTGTGATTCCTCCACCTGGGGCTATAGAGAGCCTCACTTGGAAGTAAGGGGGCAGGTTCTGTCTTATTAAGCTCAGTACAGATGTGGAAATTAAGTGTTCATCACAGTGTCATCTATTCTGTAAATGAGGTGCCATGGTATACACTGGCTATGCAAAAACAGCTCTGGGTCTGGGTACTAGTTATAACAGCTACTGTGTCTTGGACCTACATCACCATCATCTTTTTGTGTGTGTGTGTGTGTGGGGTACTCAGGAACTACACCTTGAGCCACTCCACCTGCCCTTTTTGTGATGAGTATTTTCAAGATAGGGTCTCTCAAACTATTTGCCTTGGCTGACTTCAAATCTTGATCCCTCTGCCTCCTGAGTAGCTAGGATTACAGGTGTGAGCTACTGGTGCCCAGCAGGACCTGTGCCTTCTGAGTTCCAGACCTGGACTAAGTACCTTACATGTATGAACTCATTCAGTCCTATCAAATGATCCTCCAAGACACCTACAGTATCCCCATTTTACAGAAGATAAAACTGAGGTTCAGGGATAAGACACTTGCTCAAAGCTACACAGCTGTGAAACAGTGTATTTGAAACTTGACTGCAGGCTTAACCACCAGGCTGTACCAAGCACACTCTAGGACATACTATAGCTAATAGTGCCTTCCTAGGCCCTGGAGACACCCAAGCATGGAACATAGTCCACCTGTGGCAACTGCTTCTTTCCCTCCTGGAGACCACACCACCTCCTTTTGACATTCAGGGTGTCCCTTCCTCAACACACACCTTGAAGCCCCCAAGGATAGACATCTATGAGCTCAGGGTTATGCGGGGAATATCTTTCAGGGCACAGATACAGCAGGGCTGCCAGGTCTGGGCTGGGGAAGGCCCAAATGTGGGCCTGTGTCCTATATGGGTGCAGCAAAACCTATGGGACCAGCACTCAAAGCCCCAGGAGTGGGGCTGAGTCCAAGAGTACCCCTCCCTTTTCCCTGTCATTAGCTGGGAACAGGGCTCCCCTCCCCAATCCCAGCCGGGGGAGCTGTTGGCTCTGAGGCTGGCTGCATTCACACAACATTAAGCATTTCCATTACCTAAAATAATTAGGCAGCAGGAGACATGCTGCTCCTGCTTGTTAGCTGTCCGGATGCTAAATTAATGGGGCTGCAGCCTGGGTGTGCCCATCCATCTTCTCCAATTATATTTCCACCATTTCTAGCCCACCCTCCTCCCCGCCATCAGGCCCTCTGACTCAGGACCCCATCCTAGGCATAGTCTTTCACATGCTACAGTACTGGAAAGAGATAGTAAACCTGAAGTCTAGTCCCTGTTTGGTCCCCACTTTGCAAGGTCACCTTGAGCATACAGGTTAGGAGCTTTAGACTTTCATGTGTAATGAACCTCATGTTCCTTTCTCTGGATACAATTCTCATGTTTCTACAAGGTAGCCCCTGTTTCTAACTTACACAATGGCCTCCACCTCCTTGGGTAGTCGGGGAGATGTGCAGCCTAGAACCTCCCCAGGAGACAGGGGCTTGCACTGTGGGACGCTCACATGATACTCAGTTTTCAGCTCTTGGGCAGCTGCCTGTAGGGATAATGAAAGAAGGGAAGGAAGTGGCTGGGGCCAGAGGAAAAGCCTGGACATTGGTCTCTGTCTGCCCCACAGAATGCTGGATCCTCATTCCACTTACCTGCAAGGTTGACACAAACTGAATGGTGCTGACCAGAGCAAGGGTACTGGCTGGGGGAAAGGTAAGGCGGATAGAGTCCAGGAGGTGGGCAGTGTCTATCTGGATGTCCACAAAGACATACAGCACCCGGAAGTCTTGAACTGAGGTGTCTATAGGAACTGGGGGAAGAGAAGAGTTCAAGAAATTGTTTTGAGCTGGGTGCCTGTGGTTCATACCTGTAATCCTAGCTACTCAGGAAGCAGAGATCAGGAGGATCACGGTTCGAAGCTGGCAAATAGTTCGCATGACCCTATCTCAAAAAAACCCATCACAAAAAAGGGCTGGTGGAGTGGCTCAAAGTGTAGGCCCTGAGTTCAAACCCCAGTACAGAAAAAAAAAATCTTTTTTGGGGGGCTGGTAGAGTGGCTCAAGTGGTAGAGCACCTGCCTAGCAAGCATGAGGCCCTGAGTTCAAACCCTAGTACCACCAAAAAAAGGAAATCTTGGAAGGCAGGAGGAGCAGAGGGCCCAGCCCAACCCCAGTCTCTGAGCAGCCAGGACCAGTGGCTTCAGGCTGGGGGTCGAATGATGTGGTAGGAAAGGAAGCGGTCACAGGTCTCCTAGAACTCTTCTATCATTTGGTTAGGGGACCCAGCCTGCTGTACCACCAACAGCCTTTCAATCACATGCATCTAGGACAGTAGCACAGTTTCCAAGGCAATCAAATCCAAAGAAAGATCCACCTGCAAAGCAGGAAGGCCAAGGCCATCCTGGGCCTCCAAGTGAGGCAAGAAGACTCTTTTGTGGAGAAGAAGGGTCTTCTCCTTCTATGGAGAAGATTAGTATGCAACCTGCCTCCCTGCCAGCATCCAGATATCTTGGCCTGCCATACCCAGGCAGCTGTGGCCATAGTGTACCAAGAAGTCAGCTCCTAGGGCCCTGGCAGTAAAGTCATCCACACAGCAAGCCCCATAGGTCACGTCACCCATCACCATCACTTCAGCCTCTGTGAACCTGTAGGAGTGGGGGTGGGAAACAATGAGACAGTGATACGAAGAATGAGTTGGGAGACAGTCTAACTCTGTGGAGGTGTCTGAGGACTCAGCTCCTCTCTCCCCACCTCTTCCAATTCCTTGGGTTGGCAGCTGCCAACCAAGAGTAGGAGTGGCACAGCTGCCACCTCCCTCGGCCCTGGCAGCAGCTCCTGGAACAGTTGCTGCATAAGGAGGTCTCTGCAGCACCCTGACTCCTTTGCCCAGGCTCAGAGTGCAAAAGGGACCCCCAACCCTTGGCCAGGCATGCATGGAGTCCAACACAGATTCCCTGACTCATCCCACCCAGGGCAGTGAGCATGCACACACATGCAAAGGTCCCCACTCCCATGCCCTGGCATTATAGTGTGCGTGGGCACGGATATATGGATACACACAGCCTCCCTCTTGCCTGGACCCCCACCACTCCTTACCCATAGGCAAGGCCCTAGGTGTCCAGGATGGGGGTCCAAGCACAGCTCCCCCACAGCACATGGCACCACCCACATGCCTCATGCATCAGGAAGAGTGGGCTGTGGCCAGCACATTGCCATGGGATCTGCTGCCAGGCCTGAATCACTGGGGGCAGGGAAGACCCTGTACCCCCTGAACTTGCCACAGGAACAGAGCAGGAAACTGAGCTCTTCCCTAAAGGAGACCCTAAAGGAGATGTACCACATCTGGGGTGCAGAGCCTGCCTCAGTGGCTGTGGTCCTCCACTCTTCCCCTGGGGTGTGGTGGGGGAAACTAAGCTGTTGCCAGCCGGCCCTCTCCCCCACCCCTTCCCCAAATCAGGCTGTGCACACAAGCAGATTATTCAGCTCCTTAGAATGCAGCCCAGGCTCTGAGTCAGTCAGAGCACTTAATTTTTTATAGATTAAAATGTATGCAAATTGGCCTGAGCCCCAGAGAGCATCCCCAAGGGGCAAGAGGGTGGGAGCAGGGAAGTAGGTATGTGGCAGTGGGAAGGGGGAGAAAGGGGGGGAGGGCAGCAGCAGGGAGGTGGGAGGTTCCCAGCACGAGATGACCTCCCCTTTCTTCATTCCCCCTCCCTGTGCCTGTGCTTGTTCCAGATGGCTGAGTGCTCATCATCCCCCACTTCCAAGGATGGCTCATTCTACTGAAGAAACTTAGAAGGTGGGGGTAGGGGAACTGAATACCTTTCCCTAGGCACCTCTCTCCCCTGCCATCCTTGCCCCGCTCCCCCAGTGTACCTGAGAAAAAGGTGATATACCTCCCCACCCTCAACCTCCGCCCAGACCCCTCAGCCCAGTTCAGGGTCAGCTTTGAGATTCTTAGGTTCCTCCCCAGGTCTGTCCACCTGATGTGGGTCTTGAGAGTGGAATTCTTCCTATCACCAACATAGAGGAGGGAAAATTTATATGGACAAGCAGGGCTGTTAACAAACTGGGAGTATTGTCTTGGGTAGTTCCCCTTGTGTGTGAATGATTGTAGGAGGGATAAGGGAAGGCAGAGGTCCAGAAGGGAAAAATGATGCTGACAGGCAGCACCATAAAGGACAAGGAAGGGTCTTGGCTCTGCTTTTTCGCCAGAACCCCAAGCCTCACCTTTCCAAGATATCCACAATGGTGCAGGCAAAGAGGAGGAGCCCTTCTGGCATTTGCAAGGCCACTGCAAAACAGAGCAGAGACATGAGAGGCAGAGGGCTAGAAAAGGCAAGGATGGGGATTCTGCCCCATTTCTAGGCTAGGCAACCTCTCCACCCCACCCCAGCTAAACACTTGGGAGCTTACTTACCCTTCTTGGCCTGAGCTTGTTGGATCCTCCAGATGGTCTTGGGGATCTCAAAGTTGTAGTTAGAAGGTAGGGCTTGGATGGCTACCTGCAGCTGGGGGTTGTTCAGGATTTCAGAAGGAATCTGATTGGCTAATCGGCCCCGAAAGACCCGACCTAGAAAACAATACAAGGCCTCAGTCTATGTCCGGCCTAGACCACAGCCAGACCCACTTAAGCTGTTATCTCTAAGTATAAAGCCCAGATTCCAGACATGGAGGTTGGCCTAGCTTTTTCCCCCACTGAATTCATCCTGACAGTAGAGAGATAATCTATTAAACCAGGAGGAAATCTGCATAATTAATTTCCATATCATGAGATTATTGGGAATCAAAGACTTGAGCCTATGAATGGGATATGGCTCACCTCTTACCTCAGAAGAGTAGAGATGACACCAGGGGACTGAGGGGCAAAGCAGAGCAAGTCTCAGTACACAAAACTCAAGTCTCACTGACTAGGCACACATTAGTTAATTACCTCACTCTTTCCTCTCCTCATTTAAAAGGAAAATAAACACATTTAATTGACTTAACAAATTTCCTAATCCCATTGTTCTTCCTTATCCCCACCCCAGGAAGGACAGAAAAGCCACTAGTCAGGACTGTAGACATACAGATAAGGACAAAAAAACAACCTTGGCCTTGAGGGCAATAAGTTTAATGGGAGCAGAGGATACATATAACCCTTTGAAAAGAGGAGAAAATACTGTAACTTCTTTTCTAGCGAGAAAGGGGAGGTTTGAGATGTCTCACCATGTAGCCAAGTCTGACTGCACATTCATGATCCTCCTTGGCTTCCCAGGTGATGGGATTACAGTGTTGCACCACCATGCCTGGCTCTACTGTAACTCATCCCATTCTTTACAGTACAGTTTAGCTCAACGCAGAGGTACCTCTTTAGGAACCAATTCAAGAATGTGGTAAGGCAAGAAGTTAATTTATTCACTGAATACTTACTGAGCCTGTACTATGGCCCAGAGCTTCTATTATGGCCCCTGTGTTAAGAAGGACCCTCCCAGGACTTGTGTTTGGGGGAGATGGAGAGGTGCAGTGAACTAGCCTGGCATGCTGGAGCCCTGAGACCAGATTTGAATGTTAGGGTTTTTGGTCAGTTGTTTCAAAGACCTTGGACAAGCCCAGCCTCGCTGAGCCCTTTGAAGAACCTCTTCTGGCAGGTCCAAGTCCCTGTGGTAGCTGCTGTCCTTAACAGCTCAGTAAGTTCCCTGGGCCAGTAGGCGGCTGTCATCTGTTTACACCAGTATCCCGGGTTGACTGAGATCCTAAGGGCAGGTCCTGTATTCTAGTGCCTGCACCTCGCGCAGGCCTGCCATTCAGTGGGCGCTCAGCTAGTGCCCAGAAACCATGAGCCTCTTCCCAGAAAGCATTCCCTTAGAGCCCACAGATGAAACGCCCGAGGCCACAGGCCAGCCCCAACCCTCCCCGCCAAGTCAATCTTATCCGCCACTATTCTGGTGTCCGTTTGCCAGCCAAAGCAGGGGGTGGTTTCCGACACGAGGACTACAGGTTCCTAGGAGGAGCAGCTCTCGACCGCACCCTAAGGCAGCGAAAGAAAAGAGCTGTCCCCCTGGCTCTGGTGACAGCCGGCCACAGCAGGAAAACAGCGGAGACTTCCTGATCTGGCGGAGAAAGGCGCCGCCGCTATTAAAAGCGGGTAGTGCTGTCCCTAACTTGGGGGGCACCACCCCGAGATGTGAGATCTGGAAGCAGCAGCATTGCAGTACCCACCTCTGCCAGGGCTGTTTCGGGGGCCGGACTCCGCTGCCTGGGACACAACCTGCGCCGCCATCACCTGCCTGACCACGTGGGAACCAAAAAGACAGTACAGGCAGAACGCAGACAGCGCAGGCATTGCGATCGATCGCCGATCGTCCAGCGAGAGGCGGGGATTCTGTCTGGGTGGAGCTCGAGAAGGAGAAGGGGGAGGGGATATAGTGGGCCCCGCCTCAGTCCAGAAAGGCTGGACTCTCAGATCCACTAGTGGTTCTTGACCATAGCAGTTGCCCTCTCCCAGCGACCTTGTCCTTCAGCTGCCTCCCTGGCCTGGCTGGAAGCTGGCACTCCCAGACCCATGCTGTATATCTACTCTGAATCTTGCAAAGAGGAATACCCATCAGGTATTCCTGCTGTTCCCCACCCTCACTCCCTCCTCCTGTTAGTAGGATGCTGGGTAGCCACATTCCCTACAGGGAATACTCTACTGCCCCAGCGAAATGGAACTCAGCGCCCACAGGCCCACATCCAAGTTGGAAACCTTGGTGTGGATATCTGGAGCACCAGGGTGCTCTTAGCATCTTTAGAGCCTATCATGTGGAAAGAGACTGCTACTAAGCAGTAGGCCAGAACTTGAGGGGGTTTTCCTGGGAGGGGCAACCTGAGGTCTCCATTTTCTAAACCTCTGGATCCCAGCTATCCTTTGTCCTGCCTAGGCTCCCTTCAGGTCTGGATAGCCTTCCTCCTGACCAGTGGCCAGAGCTCCTGGGGCCCCAAAGAGAAGTCAGTGAGACAGCCTTGACTTCTGGAAGATCAAAGTACCTGAAGGACTGGCCCTCAGCAGTCTCCCCCACCGGAGCAGTGGTCCCAGGGCTATTTGCCCACCCAGCCCCCTGGCACCATCCTCCTTTCTCTGCAGCCGGTGCTGTGAGCACAGCTGGCCCTTTAAGGCAGCTCTGTGGCTTCAGGCTCCCCCGGAGGCCCTCCCTGCTTGGAAACCCCTAATTAAGGTGCAGAGAGAAGTGAAAACAAGCAGCCAGGGACAGTCCCTGCCTGGGAGGCTGCCCAGAGAAAAAGGATGGATGTAGGCTGGGAGTGAGCAGTGAAGGGAAGAACAGAAGGGGTCAGTGCTCTGCCCCTCAGGCCCTGGCACTCTTAGGACAGACAGAGCTGAACTAGAATATGGGTGGCATGGGTCCCAGGAACACCTCCTCTCACTTTGATCAGAGTCCAGCCTGACTGAGAGCATGGTGGTTCAGGCCTGTTATCCTAGCACCCAAGAGGCAGAGGAATGAGGATCTTGAATTTGAGGCCAGCCTGGGGTACATAGTGAGATCCTATTTCAAAAAGGAAAAAAAAAAAAGTCCCTCTGGGGCTTCTATCCCTCCCAGATTCTCTGGACACCCCCCTTCCCCGCAGGGTGTAGGATCTAAATTCCAGGGACCCAGCCTGGCCTCCTCAAGGCCCCACCCTGAGCAGCTCCAATTCTGACTTTAGCTTTTGAGTTCCAAGGTGGAAAAAGCACTGGCTTTTCCCTAGCATGTGCTTCATCCCCTAGGGCCTTTTTCTTATCAAAGGTGAATCCTCTTACAATATTGCTGTATAGACTCTTCTGAATGAGCAACCCTGGCCCCTATCAGGAAGGGGAGATGCCTAGGATAACTGCACACCAAGAACAGATGTGAAAGTCCTGCAGTGCAGGACGCTGGAGCTGCCATTCAGCTTGGGCTGAGGATACCTCCATCTGTCCGTGGGGGTCTCCCTTCCTGAGTTACTCAGCAGTCTGAGTAATTACTGCCTGACAAGAAGGCAGGCTTAGTGCACCCCCCCCCCCACATGAAACCACAATACCCGATTATAGCCACCCCCACCCCCTGGCTGGACTCCAAGTCAACACCCAGCCCTCCCAAAGCCTGAAATAACTGCTTCTCACACTTATGCCACCCAACTTTGCCTAAGACCCTGGAGTTTGTGGGGCAAGGGTCATGAAAAGGTGGCTCAGGGAGGTGGCAAGAGGATTTGCATACCCTGATTCAGGCCCACACTTTATCACTGGATCTGCTTTGTGACATTGAACAACTTGCTCAGCCTCTCTGGGCCTTAGTTTCACAAGGACCCCAGACGTTCCCAATGTCCTAGAGCTTAGCTCTGGTATCTGTCTGGTCATGCTCAGCCACTGTGTCGGGTCAGTTCAGGCTTAACGCCTGGTGGAGGCTAGAAGAAGGAATGTCTTATTTTCTGTTTCCACCCCAAGAGGGACCAATTTGTGTAATCTTCTGAACAGATTATTTCTCACCTTCAAACACTTGCACAATCTCAGTCCTGGAATACCCTTTCCCCTTAGCCTGATGAACTCAGCCCTTCAGTGAGTGAGAAGGAGTGAGTGAGAGGTGTGAGAACACCTCTTCAGTGCATTGCTTCCTGATTATCCTTCACCCCCTTTTCAGAGCTAGCAGAGCCCCTTCCCACACCTCCTAACTTGTCACATTCTAAGATGGTTCATGGTTTTTCTTCCCCATTCTGCCAGATTTTGGAAGTCTGGATGTCTCTTTTGTCACTCTGCTCAAACCTGGAGCATCAGTGTTTGTGTGCATGAATGATTTGGCCTTCCTTTTGACCTTCCTAGTATGCCCAGTTTTCTTCCAAGGAGGAATGCTATTAGGATCTCTGCTTTGACAGCACCTGCTCAAAGCAGCTTTCCCTGATCCCTCATGGCACCTCCAGAACAATGCTTGTTTTTCTTCAAAGTACATCATCTCATCTGGACTTTCCCATTACAGTGTAAACTCCATGAGGAAAGGGTCTTTGTCCTTTTATTGGCTGAATTTCCACAAATAGTAGTGCCCCCCAACAACCCTCGATTTAAATTTTTTTTTTTCTTTTTGCCTCCCTCACAATCCCTCTTATCTCAGGCCAGTAGGGGGTGCCGGCCTCCACCCAGGATCTCTCTTGGCTTGAACCTTTTCTACAATCCATAGGGTCCCCTGTGGACCCGTTTACTAAGCGGTGCCTCCTTCATTTTCCGCGAATTCCCAGGGTGGGCGGGGGTCTGTGTGGACCAAAGGAAATAGAGGCTCCCTAGGCGGAGATAGCCCACCTGAACCTTGTGTTGATCCTTCCCTATGGAATTTGTAGCTGGACCTCCCCGAATGCTTACTGCCCCGTACCTCTCCCCTAAAAGAACAATATCCTGGGACGCGGGATGGGGAACGGCTGGTTCGCCCGAACTGTTTTGGACAGGGAAGAGCCGTCGAGTCTCAGAGGAGGAAGAGGCGCTGGCCAGGGAGGAGATGGGGCGGGGGTGCCGACTTGTGAGCAAGACTCTGGGCGGCGGACTCCGGGCGCAAGCTTCCAGCCGCCTTTCTCGATGACCTCCAGCCACGAAGGGCGAGCGGGCGGGGGCTGGGCTGCGGGTGCGGGCTCTGTGAAGCCTGAGGGGCCGGAGAGGGCCGTTCGATGGGTCCGAGGACCAGCCCGGGGGCTGGGGCAGGTACTTGGACGGACTCGGACAGAGGATCGTCCCCGGGGGCGGGCGCAGCGAAAACACCTTGGGAGGCGGCGCCGCACGGCTGAGCGCCGCTGCCCTGGGAATAGGACGGCGCTCGGCACCGCGAGCTGAGAGCACTTTCATAAATTTTGTATGGGAGGCGCTCCGTGAGCGGGGGCGGGGAGCGGAACAGGGAGGGAGCGAGCTAGCGAGAAGAGAGGGAGGGAGGGAGGAGGAGGAGGAGAGGTGGGGGAAGCCGGGGGGAGGAAGGGAGGCGCCCCGCTCCGCCGATCGCTCGGTCCTCCAAACGCGCGCCGGGCGCTTTCCCCGGAGCTCTGCTGTGCTTGCGAGCGCCCTTTTGCAGCAGCCGCCGCGGCGGCTGCCCGAGGGGGCGGAAAGGAGGGGGCCGCGGTCGGCCGGCCGGGGGGCGGCGTCCTCCCTCAAAACCGCCTGCAAAGTGCTCGAGGAGGCAGAAGCAGGCCGCCGGCTCCACGGAGCAAGCTGCTTGCTCGGGGGTTGGGAGAGCGGACAGGGTTGGTTGGCAGTGCCTCGGTTGCTGGCGGGCGCCGGTGCCCTCGGCGCGGGGCTTGGGCTAACCATGCCCCTGCGGGGCCTGGCCACCGGGCACAAGCGGATCCCAGGCTTGCCCCCGCCTCGACGCGCTCGGATTAGCTGCAGCTGGCGCCCAGGGATTTGAATCTGGACCTCGGGAGGGAGCACGCCTAGGCCGACCTCGGAGCGGCGGCCCCGCGGCCAACATGCTTCGCAAAGGTGAGTTAGAACCGCAGAGGCAAGTTAGAGTTGGATGCGCACGGGGCAGAGCCACGAGCCCGAAATCCGTCCGGCGCCCGGGAGCCGGGTGCGGGAAGCAGACCCGGGCGATATGGCTGGCTTTGTGAGACGCACTCGCCTAGGGGCTGTGCTAGAGCTCAGCTCCCGTCGGTGGCCTGAGCCACCCCTGAGACAAGGGGTTTGCTCCATGGATCGAGTGGCCAGGCCTAGGAATAGGGTTCCAGGGGTCAGTCCGAGACCAGAGTGTGATAAAGGGAGAGCTGGCCTCCTGGGACCTTTGCTTTGCCATTATAAAGTTTTGCACTTGTAGGCTCCATTCCCTGCGCGGGCACCCGCCCCTGCTTTTGCCGCTTCGGCCGGGCCAGGTTCAACCCGCGTTCTATTGCAGCCAGCGCTCAGTCACCGTGCGCCCCAGCTCGCGAGGAGCGGCGCGGACGCCGGCATCTTCCCTGCAGCCCTGCTTTATCCCCAGGGACAGGCTGTGGGCACCCAGCAGCTGAAGGTGGGGAGTGGCAAGCGCCAGAAGTCCGGTTCTTCAAACTTTCCTAATATCTGGATCGGAGGGACGGGAAGGCGAAAGCCGTGCCGGCGGTATGCGCGACCGGTGCCAGGCTCAACTTGAGGAGAGCTGGTTCTGCAACCACCTCACCCGGACTGCCTGGCAGCCCGGCCGGGGTACAGAACGCGGCAAAGTTGGCGCGGGCGCCGGGGAAGTCCTGCCGCGCCCCCACGTGGTTGCAGCGCGGGATACCATCCCTCCGGCCCAGGGAGGGCAGGTGACCACGCCGTGAGCCCGCGGACCGGCCGCCCGCGGCTCGGGCCTCTGCGTCTGCCTTTCTCCCTTCCCGGGTCCTAGCGGGCTGTGGCGCTTCGCTGGGACCTCCTTGTCCCTGGCCCCGGCTAGTTGGAGCACGAGCCGTGGCGCCTGCGGCAGGCAGCTCCGGCCCTGCAGGAGCCGGCTAAAGCGGGAGCTCAGGTAACGGAGGGGCCTGATCCCTGCGCTCCGCGCTCCAGCCTTAATCCGCCCCTGTTTCCATGGCAACAGACCGAGGTGTCGTAAGCACAGGATTCTGACCTCACAGCGGGATCGAGAAGGAGAAAATGGGAGGGGGAAGGTGAAGGAGGTGGGGGGAAGTGAAGCCCCGAGATGGGCAGAAAGAAACAGTTGTGGGGTGATGAGGAAGACCCAGATAAGCAGGTCAGACAGGTGGGTGAAGAAACCACGCCTTCGGTGGGAGCAGGAAAGACTGAGTGGTGGTCCTGCCTCAGGCCAACCGTGGAGGCTTCGTTACCCCATTGTATAGGAGTAGTCACAAACTTGTGTGTGACTTGTGCCCTCCACGTGGGTCAGTGCAGTGCGGGCAAACTGGCTGCCTTTTACTGTGGTGTGGAAAAAGTCTCTATGGCTAGTTGGAGGAACTGCTTCACTGATACACTGCAGTTCCTTTCCGTGCAGAAAGGCACAGAAAAATCCTTTCAGCGAATGATCTGTGCTGGCCAGAGTGTGTCTGTACAGAGAAGGTGCTTTTTACAGAGATGAGAACAGGCCCAACTCTGAAAAGCTTGGGCCTGCAGCATGTAAACTTGCCCCAGTGGTGAAGGCTTCTCAGGTAGTTTTAAAAGGCCTCCATGTCTGGGCTGCAACTCTATGATGGAAATAATAAAGAACTGACATCTCATTTCCCTTTTGGTCTTTTGTCTTTTGGCAGTTTACAGTTAAAAATGAGCCACGAAGCAACCCACACACTTTATTTATATGGCTTAGGTGCCCAGGGAGGCTCCAGCAGCTTCCAGGAGCTCTATCCTCTCTAGCCAGAGGCCCAGCTCTAGATGAGCCCAGTGCATTCTGGGGGCTGCTCCCTGGAGCTAGGCTTACCCTGCTCAAGAAGTGGCCACTGGAGGTTTGGCAGTCACGTGAGTTTGCCACTCTGGCTGTTTTTCCCTTCTTGCAAGGCCTTGTTAGCCGGAGAGGTTCTACCAACAAAGGTTTGCACCTGGATTGACCTGGGAGAAGCAGAGCAGAGAAGCCCTTGATTGGATCCAACTGGGCTTGGGTGGCCTGGAGCCTCCTGCTGGGACACTGTGTGGGCAAATGACTTTTGTTTTGGTCCTTTCCTGGGCAGTTTCCTCTTTTGGCACTTAATCTGATCCCTTGGATTTGTCTCTTCTGCACACATGTAGAGGACACTTAGATTCTCTGTGGGGATTCTAGGTATGTGCCCAAAGCCAAAAGTATGCCTCAGGCAAATGCCAAGGGAGCTGGTCATTGAAGTTTCTTTTTTAGAGTTGTTTTCAAAGGTTCAAGACAGCACCATTATAGGATGAGTTGACATGACTGTTGCCCATCAGATGCAGAGCTCTACATGGGGTCCTAGACCTGAGCAAGTTTAATAGTTTATGATTTGGAAAGTGTTTGAAGGATGATGAAAGAGTTGCCCTCCCTAGATTCTGGGGGAGGTTTAGAAAGAGTAGGCCTTGACCGCAAGAGTCATCTTTCTGATTTTTTGATTTTCTATTAAAGCTGTTCTCTGGCAGGCTGGTTTGGGGGTTTGGGGGTACTGCCTTCCATTTCTTAATGAATGGGCTCTGCTGGTCACACACACAACCACCTCTGTGAACCTGAAGGGCCCCAGTGGGATCTAGCTGTCGACAGTGCCTTCGGCAGCTGCTCTGCCTGCTTTTCCATCTCCTGGCCTACCCTGGCAGAACAGGGATATAAAAAGCAAGCCTCTCTGGTCAAGAGAGATGAGAGGCAGGCAGGGCAAGCAAGGCCTCTAGCCATCCAGCAACATCCAGGAAGGAAGGGCAGCCTGCTGGGGGTTTTGCTTTGCCAGAGTGACCTGTTTAAGGTCAGGATCTATGGTTTTCATTTTTAGAGCTATAAAAACAGAATGCAAATCAAGAGCCTCTGGGCTAATACAGAACCTTTCCTTAAAGTTTTTGTCTTGTTAAGCAAGGAAATAGAGTGCCAAATAGGCTTTGTTAAGTGGCAGTCTAATTAATAATTTAAAATCTTGTAGCTGTCTTTCATTAGAATTTATCTGTACATCAACCACAAAATCAGTCAAACACACTCATTTATAAGTTAATGCCGTCCCTGAATAATTCAGGAAGAGCTAGATTAAGGCCTGCAACCCAGTAAGATGCATTTTGTTCTCTTGGTTTCCATAGCCAGATGGGCCAGCCTGGTGACTGAACTGGGCTTCTCCTTTGTGGGAAGAAGGGAAGGCAGAGAGAGGGAGGGAGCATGGCATTATCAGGTGGCTGAAAGATTTGAATCCAGAAGTTTCCTAAGTGATGGGAGAGTCTTCCTGCAGCCAGGTATAGTAGGCTCCATCTCTGCCAGGAGTTGGAGCTGTTGGTAATATGGCCCTTCTTAGCCCCAATGGAGAGAAGGGAGAAGAATGTTCACAGACAACCAAATTATTCTTTTCTGCTGTGCAGGAAGTGTAGAGAGGAAATATGAGAGCCTTTTTCAAGAGAACTGAAACAAGCTGGGCACCAGTGGCTCACACCTATAATCCTAGCTACTCAGAAGGCAGAGATCAGGAGGATTGTGGCTCAAAGCCAGCCTGGGCAAATAGTCCACAAGACCCTATCTCAAAACACCCTTCACAAAAATAGGGCTGGTGGAGTGACTCAAGGTGAAGGCCCTGAGTTCAAACTCTGGTACCACAAAAAAAAAAAAAAAAGGGCTGAAACACAATGCTTTTCAGCCCAAATCTAGGTGCATAAGTAGAATTTCAGTCTTCCCAGACCGTTTCTGTTCTGATCAAAGAATCAAGGAATGCAGTGTGGTGGAACCAATCTCACCAAAATACTTCCTTCATAATTAGCTTCTAATTGGCTGCCTCTCCCTCAAAGCTCCTGGTCCTTACTCCAGAAAAGTGAATAAAGGAGGAGGAATTTTAGGGGTGCACTAGGACATCCCGGTAGAGAGGAGAGGCAGAGGAAGTTGGTAGGTAAAGTGCAGGTATGCATGTTCTCTTGTGCAGCCAGAATAAAGGCAAGCACAGCAGTGCAGTGTTCTGCCTGTGAGCCCAGACAACATAGATACTGTGTTTTGGTTCAGTTCCTATGATGACAACATGGAGCCAATTCTTTGGGTGTTTTGTTTTTTTGGCAGTACTGGAGATTGAACTCAGGGCCTCACCTTACTAGTAAAGTGCACTATCACTTGAGCCACACCCCTAGAATTTTTTTTCCCATGGTTATTTTTGGGATAGGTTCTCACTTTATGCCCACGCCAGCCTGGACCACAATCCTTGTATTTGTGCTTCCCCTGTGTAGCTGGGATGATGACGGGTTCATGCTACCATACCCAGCCATTGGTTGAGATGGAGTCTCAAGAACTATTTGCCCAAGCTGGCCTTGAACTGCAATCCTCCTGATCTCCACCTCCCAAGTAGCTAGGATTACAGGCATTAGCCACAACACCCGGCTACATGGGGCTTGTGTGTGTGTGTGTGTGTATGTGTGTGTGAGAGAGAGAGAGAGAGAGAGAGAGAGACAAGGTCTCAGTATGTAGCTCAGGCTAGCTTCAAACTTGAAATCCTCCTCCCTTAGTCTCCTGAGTGCTGAGATTAGAGGTGTGTGCCACCATGCCCAGTTTTAGGTACATTTTCTATAGGGAAACTGTCCAGGACCCAACATGGGCACTGGTTCCTCCATTGTAGAGACGAGCCCCAGAGCTCCTGGTCTCTGCCCCAACCACCAGCCCCCAGCTCTCCAGAGGGTTAAATAGCACTGCTTATGGAGACAAGATAGAGGAACCAGAGCAAACATGCACTTGGAGCCAGGAGAGGTTCTTGGCCAAGTTTAAGAAGAGGAAGGCTCACTAGGAAAAAGAAAAGGCAGGAAGAGGAGGCATTTGCCTCCTTGACCTGGAACAGAGCTTTCAACAGACGGTAGTCTTAGGAGGTGAATCCAACTGCAAGCTCTGGCCACATCTTTGGGATGGAGCCTGAGAAAGGACAGAG